ATATTTCGTTATTCTTTTTTTTATTATAAGTGGGGAATAATTCATTCTAAGTCCATTTTTTTTTTAACGATGGATAAGGTCTTATGATGGATTTGTCTTAAATAATTTTCTTGTGACAATGGGTATGTCTCGCGATAGATTTCTTGTGACGGCAGTTATGTCTTTTGGCGAACCGGGCACTTTTTGTAATTCCACATTTTTTATGTTCCACATCTACACTACGTTAAATCATTTAATTCGCGATTGATAAATGGATTTAGTTTAACTTATCTATTTCAAACTAAAGCTAATTCGAGTTAGATCAAATAATTTCAAGCAACACTATAAAGTTGATATAGAGATAGATGAGGTATGACTTACAATACATGAGTTATATATTTAATTATATTGTTATTTCGCTTTATTGCAACAAAGCTGCAGGTGATTTTTATTATGTAAGCGAACTACTAATTGCTTGTCTCTTTTTTTTTTTATTTTTCAACAAAGAAATTTACTAACTGCTCGTTTTAATTTTATTTTGTATCGATTCTATTGTAGCCATCATTTCCTGTCATGGTCGCGGTAATAACAATATCCATATCTAAAGTATCATTATTGATGAGAAGAATAACGTTTAATATTACGTTGAAATAAATTTAAACCATTATATATGATGATGGTGATGATGACAATATTGATGGTAATGGATTATTATTATTATTATCATTATTATTATTTATTTCAATGATGTTCTCGATCTTTAAAGATTCATTTTCATTACTATCATCATTATTGTTGTTGTTTTTGTTATTATCATTATTTGATTCATTATCTTCAATTAATGATAATGAAAGACTTTTAGTTAATTTTATAGATAAATATTTTGAATTATTGAGAGATTTATTTTTAGGTCCATTGGTTTCATCTCCACGTTTTCATTTAAGAGAGACAAGTTACCAAAAATATTTCCATCATTGAATCCACTAAAAAAAAAGGAAATGATAAATATTCATAAATTATTATAATAGTTAGAGGAAATGGTTTCATTCATCCCTTCCTCTTCAGATCTTCAACATTATCAAATTCTCTTTTAATTACGCTCATTTGAAATTTCATTTCTAAAACTTTCTATTCCCAGAAAGTTTGCTGAATTAATACAGATTTTATCATTACCTATAAAAAGATTTTTAGTGAATAAATTAAAAAAGATATTAATAGCAACAATTAATAACAATAATCAATATTATTTTTTAAAAAAAAAAATACAAAATTATTATAAAAATAAATTACATAAAATCAAGTTATAAATAAAATTATATTAATTAAATAAAATTATTTCACATTTAACAAATCCATAATACATTCTAACTTAGAATTTCCACCTAATTTATGAATCATATCACGTACATATTGATCTATTTGGGTTAAATAATTAAGAGTATATTCAAAGGAACCTGATTCTTTCATGAGTTTTACTGCGAAATGTTTTAGATCGATAGAGGTTGTATGCTGTTTTAAAATATCTAAAAAAAAAAGAAAAAGAAATAGATTAAGGATATTATTTTTTTGAATATATTTGTTTTATAATAATAATAATTATAATAATATTATTATTATTGTTGTTAATACAGAATAACAGTTAAGGATACTAATCAATTGTCTATTATTTGGATTTTTATTAATAGAATGTATAATAGGAAAAGAAAATTTTCCTTCTGTCAAATCTTCACAGAATCCTTTGTTATCAGCATACTATAAAATATATATAAAATAACAAATAATTAACATTTAATATAAACATTATATACAATATTAAAATATAATATCTACCTTTTCAGATTGCAAATTCATGTAGTCATCACGTATTTGAAACTGAATACCAATAACATTCACAAGATTTACATATTTATCATCTCCTCTATAAAAATCAAAAGAAAAAAAAAATCAAAAATATAATTTTAATTTTATAATTCTAATTAATAAAAATAATAATAACTTACATTTTAGATTTACTGGCTTCTTGCATTAGTTTGACACCTAAACGTAATAATCCTCCAGTTTCTACATATTAATTAAAATTAAATCAACAATAAGATATTAATTAAAACATTAAATTAAATTAAACAATTATTTAAATCAATTACTTAAATCAATTATTTAAATCAATTTATTAAATCAATTACTATTTGAAACCATTTGAATATATTCAGATTCTGTAGGACATGTCAATGTATCTCTCCAATAAAGTTCCATTCCTTGACCACGGTGAAGACATAATAATTCCTCTATAATAATCAAATAAATAAATAAATAATAAATTTATAATAATCAATTTTATAATAATAATAATAATAATAATAATAATAATAATTTGGTGATAATCAAATTTATATAATTAATATATACCAGTATAGATAGAATACATGTTTGGATCATTATACTTTCGAATTTCATTTAATGCAAGAAAATAAATATAATTTGCACAATTAATAGCAGCAGGAATACCATAAATTGAATGTGCGACTATAAAATGCAAAAAAAAAAAAAAATTATAAAGAATCAACAATCAATAAATAAATCAATAATCAATAAATAATAATAAACCTGGAACCCCTCTTCGCAAGATTGAATTATCTTCTACATCATCAATTCTATTTTAAATAAAGATGAAAATAAATAAAGATGATGAAAAAAAAAAAAATAAAGAGAGATGGAAATAAATAAATCTCATAAATTAAAACACATACAAAAGACTAGCAGTATGTAACATTTCAACTACAGTGGTGATTAATGCCAATTTATCTTTAGGAACATTAAGCCAATGATCAAATGCATCAATAAATTTTGATCTAATTTCTTTTCCTGGATTTGCCATAAGATAATTAAATGGTTCTAATAAGATCTTAAGTATTTAATATATAAAGAATTTAATAAAATACATAAATAATTCGATTAATATATATGAATAATATAAAGTATTTAAATAATATATCAATTGATTAAAACACCTGTTCTTTATTGGGAGACCAAGAAGATGTGAATTGAAATGGTAATTTATTATCATCATTATTTTCATTATTGTCATTATTGTCATTATTATTATTGTCCATTATTGTTTGTGAATATTAGATATTTTTCTGGGGATGTCAAAAATGTGAGATTTATTTATATCTAAAATTATTTTTTTTTTTAAGTTCAAATAAAAATTTAATTTTCCCAAACTTCCAAACCAGTGATAATAATATCAATAGATGGTATCATCCATTGCCTTCTTTTTTAATCTTATGAAATGATCAATTTTTCGTTCTTTTCCAATTTTTGATGAGACGATTATATAATCAGAAAATCAACTATTTAGGAATAAAATGTGTTGGCGTAATGACTTATATTCGTTTAGTAATACAAACACAAATAATATTTTGGGTTTCAAAATATTAGCAAAAAAAAAAACCGTGAAGAATTAATTTGCTTCTAGACTTATAATGGATGGTGTAAAAATTAGAGATGCAATTTTATCAAAAATTTGGATGTATATTATGTATATTGAATATTGTACGGTAATAATCAATAATCAATATTTTCTCAAATATTTAAATGAAATAAATAATAATTTTATTCTTTGGTTAATGTTGACTATTATTGAAATAAAGATAATGAACACAATTTTTTATATAAACATATTAATTTATTAATTTATGCATCGACCCGTATTTTCAAAGAGCGGATAATGCTAAATAAAAAATAATAATAATAAAAATAACAAATATAAAAATTTATATAAATAAACGACCATAAATAGTACAGATACGTTTTAATACATGGGAATTAAGAATCATTTTCATTGATGTAGAGGTTTGAATGACCACCAGTCACTTTAGTGAGATGGTTTTTAACTCCTTCTTGAGCATTCCAAATCGCATTTCTAGCACGGTAGGTAAAGTGTTGTCCCTTTGTCAGCCCATCACTAATGATTTCTTGGGCTTTGTTCAAAGGTGGGTTAATATAAGAATCTTTGAATGGGCCCAAATATTCTTTAGCTTTAGTTTGACCATGGGAAATGGCCTCGTGACTATTTTCCGTCAATCTATAGGTTGCTACGTTGGCAGTATCAAGAAATGATCCAACGCGAGTAAAAAGACCACCCATAACTACACGAACTACGTTATCATACCACCAATTGATCAAAGGCACACTTTGAATAAGACCTTCGAGAGTCCAATTATCCTCTTGTTTGACGATGTAATATAATCCATTATCTGCTTTACGGAATTTCAAGATAGTGACAGAAGGTATCGAAAGATGGACAAAAGGTAAAATTCGAGGGCGGAAATGTTGTGTTACGCGAATAAATGCGTTCTCTACACTATGCATGGTGTAACAAAAAAAAACATAAATATAAAATGACCCTGGTTTAAGAAAATTGAATATTTTACTTACTCGAAAATTGGGTATTCGTCAATTTGGGGTGGTTGAAGATTTAACGAAGTCCAAACGCGAAAAACTCTAAAAATGTTATGAGTTCCCTCAACATTTAAAAGAGGGTGGGATAATTTTGCATCATCTACAAAGTAATTCTCAAGAATTTCTTTGTATTTTTTTTCATCATAAGAGAAGAGACCATCACAAATTTCTAAAGTTCAAAAATGTCGTCTGTGAATTAAATGATTTCTTATTAAAACAATTTATTATACTTTATTAACTACCTGGAAAGATATCCTCTGCTCTATTTTTGTCCATGTTTAAAGGAAAAAACAGAGAATAAATTAAAGTTTTGAAAATGAAAGAAAAAAATCAAAGAATTTATAAATTTTAATGAAAAGGATAAAACATTTATTCACATGTCAAGTATGTCGCTCAAATCATCCTACTGTGGGAAATTTCCTTTCTAAGAAGTGTCTTTTCCTGAATTGGAAATTAAATGGTATAATCGTATCATCCATTTTTAGATTGCATATGCTTATATATGCTTATATATGCTTATTTACTCATGTTTGCAACCTCTCGATTGCCAGTATTTTGTTATCAAGGCATGGTCATCACATTCAACATAATAATCTCCATATTGTTTAAGGTTATTATTGATGGTTTTTTTTTTATTACATATACATAATTAAGAAAAATTCAAAAAATGTAATGAGAAAAAAAAATTGAAACAAAGTAGCTGTAAAATATTCAAATAAAACAGATTTTTGGGAATAAATTTCTAAATATTTATTATTTTTAACAATTTAAAATAAAAAAAAAAAATTTGGTATGATCACGTGTCAATTTTCAATAGAATTATTCTTCGTCCATATCCATTGTGATTTCATCAGGGTTCACGTTTTCATCAGAGTTCTCGTTTTCTTTCTTTGTTTGTGTAGAAGCCCTAAAAAAACGTAATGATTATTAAAACCTTTGTCATATCATATAAAGAAATGTATATATTTGGATAAAAATACATACGGGACAAAGGCCATTGCTTTGACAACTTTCGAATTATTTCCCATGTTTTGTATAGTTTCTTGTTCAATTAGTTGCATTGCGTTTGGTGCATTCGTTTGATCGGATACATTTGGTTGTAAACCTTGTTGAGTACTTTGGTTAGCTTGACGAGTGGCAAGTATTTGAGCGGATATAAAGTTAACCTATTAATAAAAAGAAACAATTTAATTTTTTTCTAATATTAAATATAATGTTAAAAATAAAAATTTATTAAAAAAAACAACCTCAGTATTGTATTGGGCTTGAACACTCCTCTTAATTCTAAGCATTTCTTTGAATGTATCTTCGTTACCGTGCTTGACTTCGAAATCATGCCATATTTGCCAGAAAGAGGGTACTATCTGTTGTCAAAATATATAAATATATATATATTCATATCAAAAATTCATATATTATAATGGGCAGATAATTAAGTGATAATATTAAAACATACATACCCTTGGATCACAGAATTGTGACGCGTGAGCGTATAGTGCCCTAGCTCGATCTATTTCTCCCAATTTGCGTTCTAATTCGGCATACTTTAAACACATATCTTTTGCTTCTTTGTCTGGTAAAACCTCAATTGCACGCTCATAAATTTCACGTGTGTAAGTAACACCAAAGTTCGCACTAGCTTTGGCAATATAAAAGTTAAACATCTAGAAATGAATTTTTTCATAGTTTAAAAATTTAGGAATAAAGTCGATGAATGGTAACTTATAAAAAAAAAGATAATTTTAGAATTCATACATCAAATCTATCTTCATCAGCAACAGCTCTAGTTGCGCGATCATAAATACGCATCGCATGTCGTGCTAATCCATAATCCTCTTCTAATTTACCATACATAAGGTATAAAGGTTTTGAATATTTTGGAGGACATTTTTCAAGAGCTTGTTCGAATAAATCTCGGGCACGTTCTAATTTAGCACCACCCTGTAAAAAGATAAATAATTTATTCGCTTATTTAAATTCTTATTAAAACACAAATGACAAATCATACTTACATATCGAGCTATGAATTTAGTTAGGTAAACATTCCAAATTTCAAATGCAATTGGGTAATTGAATAATTCTACTCCACGTTCATACACCTAAATAAGAGATCCAAATTAGTATAAATGGTTCAACAATAAGAATACAATTGGTTAAGAACGAAATTCAATTACTTTAAAACTCTCTTCAAAGTATTTGTTTTCTTCTAGAAAATTGGCGTAATTAATAATGATCTGCGGGTTAGCTATTTTTAATTCAAGAACTCTATCGTAAACGGCTCTTGTTGATTCTATGGTACCGATACTCTCTTCCAAGTCAACATAAAAAGACCATAGTTTAATAGACTTAAATACTCGTCGTTGTACTGGTATATTCTATGAGGTGAGAAAGACTGGTAAGAAACTTTTGAAAAAAAAAAAATAATATTCATGATTTAAAAATTATAATAATTTATATTATACTTCGTCACGAAAATCGACATTCGGATTTCCAACTGGAACCGTTGCAAGACTCATCACTTCAATCGCTTTATCATAGAATCTAAGTGACAATTTTTTTTAAAAATAATAATAATAATAATAATAAGTATATAACCGTAATGAATTATCATTTAAATATATATTATTTCTTGATACATACTTATGCCGTAATTCCATTTCTGCATATTCACACCACACAAAAGCCAAGTCATTAACATTTTTGAAATTGACATGGGTAGCTTTTTCAAATATTGTTCGTGCACTTTCCAAGTCATCCCCTTTTTCGTAATATTTTGCAAAATTAACCCACAATTCATGAAATTTTCCGGTAGCCTTTTTAGGATCAACCGTTCGCATTGCAGTCGAATATGTTTCAACAATCTAAATACGAATTTTTAAGGATTTAGATAATTATTTAAAAAAAATCCATTTTAAAGATTATGATCATATTTTTTAATATTAACCTTTTCATGATTATCTTTCCACAAAGATACTCTCTTTTCCCATTCATGTACGTTATTAGGATTTTGCCTTAATAAGACATCATTCACCAAAAAAGGTCTTCGATCCATCAATTGTTCGAAACGCATAAGTCTTAAATCTAATTTTAAATCTTCTTTCGGATCATCTATGCCTTCTTCAACACGTTTGGCAGCTTCTTCCATTTTTTTTTCTATAAATGTTTCTTCCGCCTTTGCATATGTATCAAATATTTGAGTGAAATCTCTGACGGTCATCACTGTACTTATACCTTCTTCGAAAACATCCCTCGCCTATGTTAAAATCATTTATTTTCAAATTTAAAATTTAATCGTTGAGTTTGAATTTAAATTTAAATAAAATATAAATACCTTCTCAAAATGTTGTAACTTAATCCAATAACTTGCTAATGAATTCCATAGTTTACCCACTTGATCTGTAAATCTTCGAATGCCACTTCTTATAATTGGTTCTACCTTCAAACTTTTGATTTCATGGGGATGTTCACATATTAATTCGCATAATTCCATCCATAATTGATAATTGGATTTACCATGCATTGATTGAAATCTATCGTTATTAACGACTTGTGCAAGTCGTTTCGCAGCTTCATCGTAACGATCCATCGAAAGTAACAGGTCTATATATTCTTCTACGTGATCTGGTTCCAACTAAAGATGAGATGCGTATCATATTGTGAGCAAAATTTATTTATCCGAAATAATTTAATTTTATTGTACTTGTTAGGTTGGGTCCGTTTCAACAGAATTAATTTCAGTTGATTAATTCCAAAAAGACAACAACCATTTTCAATAAAAACTCGCTTTGTATCAAGGTAATGACAGTGAACACGTTGTCATCAATAAAACTACTGCATTTGATCTTATTAAAATGGACTCACGCACATAAAATTTAATGAAGCTATACTGTAACTTACTTTAAGATACCTGCGATATAACCGGATGGCAGTCTCTCCACCTATTTCTCTCGCAAATTTTAAATAAATCTCCCATATTCTAGGATGCTGTGTTATGGGTAATGCCTTTAAGGCGCGATCAAACGTTCGACGAGTTTTAATAACTCTGCATTGTTTCATCAGAAAACTACAATAATCTATCCATATTCGAGGCATCTAAAATAATATATAAATGTCAATCTGTTTTTTTTTTTTTTATGAATTTTGATTTTAGAATAAGTACCTTATGTAATAAAACTAACGCCCTCTCAAAACAATTATTGACTTTCAAATATTCTTTTTCATATCGGACTGGATTTAAATCTTGAACCTTTTCTCTTCGAAGATCCAAATATCTCTTCCATATTTTGTATGAGCCTGGTAATTCTTTCAAAGCTCGTTCATACACAAAAATTTGCTGGGCTATTGGCTGCTCTGATTTATGATCGATGTATCTAAACCAAGCTTTTAAGGTGTATGGATTACGCAATATTTCTTCTTCAAAAGGAATATCGATTTCTTCCTATATAATAAAGTTAAAATCTCATTATAAACGTTTTAAACCTTCTAACGAGTTTGGATAGTTTTTTTAAAAACCTCAAATACTTACGATCATGTAAAATCCACCATTTTCAAAAACGTTTTCGATTTCCATGTTTACGATGAGCTCAGCGAACGATCATGTGATAATTACCTGAGCTACCCCGACCAACTGATGATGACCCTCCATGAGCACAACCACTGACTGATTTGACCCACTAATTGATAATTCGTCATCAGTTAGTGAGTTGAGTGAGTTGAGTTCAACACACGTTTAAAGATGGTTTTTGCATGTAGAAATTTGTGGTCACGGAAAACCTCATTAAATATACTGGTGAGCAATAAAATATTTTGAACTTGTCTTTTCCTAACTATTTAAGATTTCTCAAGTAAGAAAAGGTGTACTTTGATTTTTTGATATTAGAACCGAAAAATAACGCGGTTTTGCCAATTTACTACGAAGACAATTACGGAAGAAAAGGTTAAATTTCCCGGTGTAAAAGAAAGTTATTTTACCGATAAAATGCAATTCATTCAAAGTGTCAATCCAATACCAACATATAGAGTAATGGATAGACAAGGGAAAGTTTTGGATCCCGCTCAAGAGCCTCAGGTTTCTTTTAATTCAAAAGTTTTTTTTTTGAAGATTAATTATTTCGTTTATAATATATTAATTTGGGGATTATTTCATTAGGTATCGAAAGAATTTGCTTTAAAAATTTACAAAGATATGATTACGTTGAACATTTTTGATTTAATTCTTTATGAAGCTCAGCGACAAGGGCGAATAAGTTTTTATATGACAAATTATGGGGAAGAGGCATATATTGGTAGTGCAGCTGGTTTAGATAGTCAAGATGTGATTTTTGGACAATACCGAGAGGCAGGAGTTCTCTTGTATCGTGGATTTACGTTAGATGAATTTATGAATCAATGTTATAGTAATGAAAAAGATTCTGGCAAAGGTAGACAAATGCCCGTTCATTATGGATCTAAAAAATTAAATTTTCAAACTATTTCTTCACCACTTGCGACACAAATTCCACAAGCTTCAGGTGCAGCTTACGCACTTAAAAGAGCTGGGAATAAGAATTGTGTAATGTGTTATTTTGGAGAAGGTGCAGCTAGTGAAGGAGATTTTCACGCTGCATTAAATTTAGCAGCAACCATGCGATGTCCGGTAATATTCTTTTGGTAGGCTTTTATTAGAATTATGTTACTAATTTAATTATAAAAGACTAATTCATTTTTTTTTTTTTAAAAAAAAAAAAAATAAAAGTCGTAACAATGGTTTTGCTATTTCCACACCTGCATTTGAACAATATAAAGGAGATGGTATAGCGAGCAGGGGAATCGGATATGGGATTGATAGTATACGCGTTGATGGAAATGACGTATGGGCCGTTTATAATGTTACAAAGGCTGCAAGACAATTGGCGGTTGAAGAAAATCGACCCGTCTTAATTGAAGCCATGTCATATAGAATAAGTCATCATAGTACTTCAGATGATTCATCAGCATATAGATCTAAAGAGGAAGTTGAAAATTGGATGCGGTTTGATAATCCTATTGTGAGATTACGTAGATGGCTAGAAGATAAGGTCATAGATTTAAATAAAATTTTGAAATATTCTTATAAAAGATTATACTGAAATGAACATTATTATTATTATTCATTTAGAATTGGTGGAATGGACAAGAAGAAAAATCATTTCGAGCTTTTATTCGTAAAGAAATTCTAACATCATTTTCCAAAGCTGAAAAACTTCAAAAGCCATCCATTACCGATCTTTTCAATGACGTCTATGATCGTCCTACACCAAACATTATTATTCAGAGAGAAAAATTAAAAAAATTGATTGAGAAATATCCAAATAATTATCCTCTAAAAAATTTCAAAAATGAAGGTGAAGACTTATAGTAAACAATGACTAATTTGCTTTATTAGTCTTGAAAATAAGCAAAATAATCAACATTAAAACCTAATTAGAACTATATATAGGATATTTATTAACTTTTTGATTATTCAATAATCGAAATTTAATAAGAATTTTTTAATATTTTTTAATATTTTTTAATATTTTTTAATATTTTTTAAAATAGACAAGATTTCATTTTAATTATTAATTATTTATTTAATAAATTGAAACTCTATTAAAATTATTAAAATTAGATATAAAAATAAATAATAAAATTAATACTATTAATTAATTTCTACCTTGTAAAAAAATTAATTTCCTAATTTAAATCATATTTTATAAAAAAAAAATAACCATTTCAAAATTTATAAAGTTTTAAAAACAAAATATCAGAATAATAAAAAAAAAACTTATTAATCACTTTTTTAATTTTTTGTCCACTAAATCTATGAATAATAATGAATAATAATAGCTGCTCTATATTTGTATTATTATATTTGAATATATCAAAGGTGTATTTACAAAGCACACCAAAAATTTTGAACGCAAGTTTAGGCATCACAATCCGCGTTTTTGTTATATTCTTAAAAGATCAGAATTACCCGGAAGAATTATCACCAAGATAAGGTTGATGTACTTAATACAAAAATTAAAATATGTTGTCAGTACATTGTTTATTATTTAATTAAATTATTGAGATATCATTGTTGACATTATTATTATTATACCCGAATAAAATCCTGGTTGTTGCGGAAATGTATCGTTTACATTCGTAGCATCCTCTTCCTTATCTTTCGCATTTGCAGAAGAGCGTTCAATTTTGGTGGTCTAACAAGTAGATTCGTTTTTTACCATTGATATTTGTAAAATATATAATATATAGGTAATAAAAATTTATTGAACTGGATTCATACTTCTCTATATTTTCCTAAATATATCTTTAGTGCTTCTGCATAATTTTCAAATCCTAAAGATTGCATGGCCCATAAAATATCTTCTCCGTTAATCGTTTTTCTTTTCTCTTGTTGACAACGATCGCTTGCCGTAAAAAATAAAAAAAAAATAAAAAATGTTAAGGATTTTTCCTAAATTATGGGTATAAATCCTAAAAAAGAATAGATCAAATAAAAGGATATTCGCTCGTTATAAAAGAAATAAATTCAGAAACGCATTCTTGGACGCATTCTTTAGCTTCTTTAGCAATTTTTGCATTTTCTGGAAGAGCACGTTTCATTATTCGTGCAACGTTTGCAATCGGAAGAAACCGATCTTGTTCCTTGAAATCTTCGACCTCATCACCAGATGGTTGCGCACTTTCTGACATGCTCATTCTAATTGTTGATTATGCCTTTTTGTCGATATTATTGATATTGCCGATTTGACGATTATGCCTTTTGCTTGGTTTGGATTGGCGGTTTTTTGTTTAGGTTTTTATGATTAATTTTCCTTAGACAGTGTCCGCGGGATTTTCTTTGGGCACGGAACGTCAAAAATCAGTTGATCGTCACGCGGACATGTTATACTTTTCCAGATCATTTATAATAAAATCAATGAAAAAATTAATAAAAGTCAATAAACCTTTCGATATATCATTTAATGTTTATTGTAAACCATGTTAGGTGAAAACAAATAAGTTTTCCAAAAAGAAAAAAGAGAAGAAATTTTTAGTTTAATATAAACAAACAATATAAATTCTACAAATTCTTATATTTTTATTTTATAATAAAAATAATTTATATATCATCATCAGATAAGAAAAAATTTTCACGCTTAAATTTTTATTTTCTTGTGAATTAAGCAAAATATTTACAAATATTCCTACCTGTTTACAAATAATCTTGTCTATTTGCAAATATTTCTTGTTATACTTATTAAAAAAAATCTGCATATTTTCTTTTTTTTTCTTTATTCAACTTATGAAAAAAACTTTTTTCAAATTTAAAGCTTTTTATTTTAAGTAATTGCAGTTAAAGATTTTATTAATGTAATGATAAAAGTTTTTCAAGATAAAGTAACACTAACATTTTTTTTTTGACAAATATAATCTATAAACAGTTGCAAATAGGAAAATAAATAATTGAATTAAACAAACCAATTTAGATTCATATTTTTTTTAAAGTTTAACAATAAGGCAATCATTTATACATCCAAATGATCTCATTTGTTATTTTATTCAAATTTCAAATGACCAGTCATATAATTTAACCAATCATAATTCCCCAATATTCATATTTATTTAATTTTTATATTTAATAATCATATAATCACAATAAATTATTGAAAATTCTCATTGAAAATTCAAAAATAATAATTTCTATTTGCTAAGGTTATCACATGTCTTCAAGAAATATATTTTATTGGTTATTCAAATGACTTTTACATAATTTTTAAATGACTCATTTGGTCATTTGGAAGGTTATTTCAAAATAGGCAAATGATATGATCATTTGGTTCAAACTACTTAGATATATTAACTATATTTCACTAACAAATTAAACTTTTTCTGTTTTAAATTTCTGGTTAAATTGTTAAATATATATCAAAATTTTAATTTTTTCAATATGAGCAATATAATATTTGCAAATTATAACTAATAAACAAGATAATCTTTACATAAAAAATATAAAAATTAAGATTGAGGAAATTGATAAAAATAGAAATTACTAATTCAGAAACAAGTAGTAATTTAGAGTATTATTTTAAGAATGGATAAATATGTTTGAAAGAAAAAAAAAGATATATATGAACTTGAAACTCATAATAAATAAATCACATTTTTATATATAATGTCCTCTCTATAGGACACAGACACGGATGTCCAAATTTTGTCCGCCTGGTGAAAACAACTACCATACACTATCATAGTACACGTGCGTCATTTCATTTGACGTGATCGTAAACTTCTTGTAGAACTAATAATAATTCTATTATTTAGGTATTAAAATTTTTTAAATGTTTAACATCCTGTTACAAATGTCTTAAAGACAAAGAAAAAAAAACAGAGTACATTAGAGTATTCAGATCTTACCACATCTTTTTAAAATTATTTCACTGAAATATTTTATTTGATCAAAAAATTGATTAAACATTTTATTTGGTCGAAAAAATATTTTCGACTAAATTTTCGTAAACGAAGAATAACCTACTTTTCTGAATAAAAAACAAATTATTTTTTGTGTGATCTAAAAAATGTATAAATGCTTGACAAACATTTCCGCTAAGAAAATAGTTAAATACAAATTTGACAAAAAAAAATACCTTATCTAATGAATAATTCTAGATTGATTATTTTGATTTGAGTAAGATTCATGCCTTGAACACAAAATGCGTCCAAACTTTTTTTTTTTTTTTTTTGTTTTTTTTTATTATTCTTAATATTTAATGTTATTAGTATTATTAGTATTAAATTATGTTGTTATATTATCCTTTTATATAAACCTAAATATTAATATTTAATTTTTTCGCATGTAAAATAAAATGTATGCTGATCGATCTGATGATTGGTTAGAACTTCCATCTACAGAAACTTCACCTTCCGAAATTGGCGATATCGTGCTGTCGTCAATATGAATCCATTCATTGTCATGTCGAAGGACGTCTACAGTATAATGACCTCCGCCAGCGGAATTTCCGTGATGATACACCACTAAATGGAATAAATAAATATTTATTATTATTATTATTAAGATTTATTAAGATATTATTAAGATATTATTAAATAATAAAATAATGAATAAAAATTATAGAAAACTAACCGCCAAAGAGTTGATATTCTATAGCAACGTTCGATTTCCGACTAGGAGCCATCAATTCTGAACAAATCCCGGAAAAAAAAATATTAAAAAAGAGTAATAATAGAAATAAACAATAATATAAAGGAAATCGTGATCTTAAATTTACCTGGTGGAATAGACAAAGTCGTTGAATAGCTAATATGCTTATTTAACTTTTGAGTGCCACCCATATCATACAAAAATCTCTTAAGATGAAGTGTGAGAACTGGAGGGAGTTTTTCAAAATATACTTGCTTTGTCACACGAACCTAATTAACCAAAAGTTTAAAAGCTTAATAACTCGGGATGTTACTCAATGACTCAATGACTTAATGACACAATCGATCAACTTACCAAACCCTTTTTTGACAAGTGAAGATCATCGACTTCCTCGGGCATGGTAAAATTTTTAAGAGCATCACCAATAGTTTTTACATCATCGCGCTAAGGAAAAATTATTATTTAATTTATGATTTGAAATGAGATAAAAACTTTTAAATCGGGGTAAGACAAACCTGGATATCAAGTTTCAATGATTGATACGGTTCAAGAGTTATCGAATCATTACTGCCTTTGCGAAGCACGGATCGAAAATGCCCACAAAAGATATGACTAATCGGTGATTCTTCAACATCGGTCTTAAAAATTTAATGAAAATAAGTGAAATAAGAATAATGCCTTTAAATAAATAACGAAAATAAAAGAATATAATTAATTAATATAAAAACCGTTCTGGTTTGGCTCGTTTTATTTCTTGGACCAACTTCCATCCAAGGTTCTTCGGAACCATCGCCTTTTGAATCAGCTTGCCCATTTAGTATTTGATTAGAATAAGCATTCTTCGATTCACCGCCAGGCTTGAAAACTAAAAGAATATGAAAATAATATTCAACCTTTTAAATTCAATATAAAATGATTTTTATTTAACTATTTACCTGTCAGGAATTCTTCATGCAATCCATCAAGTAAATATCCCAAAAATTCCTCGGCATCTTGATGTCGACCTTTCTCAAATTTCTTGAGGCTTCGCAAGGCATTGTAAACATAATCGGGCAAAATAGGCTCTCCGAATTCTTCAAAATTTAACAAACTCAAAGGCTTTAATAAAAGTACAAAAAAAAAACATAGCGTGACAATTTATATTGAAAATTTCAAAACGGAATAAAATATATACCTGTTTCATTATTTTTAGATTGTCTATATTCATTTATAAACATTACCCTAAAAAAAAATAATTAAAATGTCAATTTAAATTCATTGGGATAAACAAGTATAACAATAGAGACATACAAAAATAAACTCACAATGAATCTACTAGAGGCGTTTTGCTCTTAAAGCTATGAGCTACTTCTTTCCCAATACGCGCTAGTAAATTATAAAATGGCGGGCAATGGAAAAGAGTTTGTAAAATCTAGATAACAATATAGTCCAATGATGTTATTTTTACCAATAAAACACAATCAATAACCATTATTGAAATTTAAAAATTTTTTGAAGTCGACTCTTACCGCGTTCATAAAACAAGTATTATTTAAATTTACTAAACCGCGAGGTTGCATTTCAACTCTGTGTAACGAAAGCTCATAATTCGACAACACCCCTATATAAAAATTTCGATGAATTATTATTAGAAATCAATGAAAATCGATGAAATTTTTATTATAATAAACTTACCAACGAGACCTCCTACATTAGATTTTCCATTTTGTAAAGATTGTGCAGGTTTTTCATTTTTATTAGATAATGTGGGTTGTTTGGTTACAGTAGGCTTGGAGGAATTTGTTACAGTTATAGTCGTTGGGTCTTGATATGTCTTCAATAAATCCGCCCAGCTTTTTATTGAAGATTTGCTATTATTTGCACTTTTCAGATTTGATGGGTTACCATCTACAGCTGAATTAGAATCTTTAGAAACGGAGTTTGCGGAAGAAACGGAAGAAATGGAAGAAATGTTGTTAATGTTGTTAGCTTCATCATTCACGTTTAAATTTTGGGTTGGGTTTTGAATAGATTGTGGTTGTAGTTGTGGTTGCGGTGGCTGTGGTTGTGGTTGTAGTGGTTGTGGTGGTTGCGGTGGTTGTGGTGGTGGTGATGATGATGTATGCAATGCTTCATTAATTAAAGATGGGCTTTTTTGATTCATTTGTCCATTTATTGGACGAATATTGTTCGATTGAGGTTTTCCATCATTTGTGGTTGAATTTCCAAGAGGTGGAAACCCATTGTTAATAATTGTATGAGGATTTTTGTTTGTTGTTAATTTGTTGTCTATCAATGCATTGTGTGTTGATACATTTTGTGTTGATGAAATTGAATTATTATTATTACTATTATTATTATTATTATTATTATTAAGTGATACTAAATTTGAAATCCCTTCATCGTTTATACCATTTAAGTTGGGTTTACTCTTTGTAACGTCATATTTTTGAGAGGAATTCTCGATGAAATTTCTAGAAGAAGGAATTGATGATTGTTTATTAACTGTTATTGAATTTTTGTTATCTTTGAGGGGTTGACGATGCGTAGAAGGTTGTGTAGAAGGATGCGAAGTTGATTGATTATTTATCGTTATTGATGTGTTGGTGGAGGAAACTCCTCGATTGGTGCAAGATATGATGGTATTCGATTCTTGTGATGTTATTGACGGATTTTTTGATTTTATTGTTGATCCAGAATAATTTATCTGTTTCTTTCCTGTTCCTCGGCTTTGAGGTTTGGAAGAAAACGTCTTTTCTTTTTTACCATCTATTTTTTCTCAGAATGTGTAATTGTAAGTGTTAATTCGCTTCTTAGAATAAAAAAGGAATTGATATAAATTATGATTAATTATACCTCTTGACAGAGACGGAAATCCTATATTATGTGGTACCTATTGTAATTTATATATAAAAAGATCAATGAATATACAAAATTACTTTTGAATCACAGAACATATGAGAAAAAGAATCAACCTTGAATGATAATTGTATTCCGGCTTTTGTTATTACTGTGTCAATTTCTTCTCTGTTATTAAAACTGCCGTATATTGGTTTATGTCCCTTTGTTAGCATAAAAGGAAACGTAAGTTGTTGTAAAAACCTTGAAATAAATTAATACGGAATGAAGTACACCAACCTTTTGTGAGTGCATTATTTATTACAATTTTTTTTTATTAATTAAATAAAGTATTAACTTAAGTATTCAGAGCTTTTGTGTGTGTTTTTTTTTTTTTTTTTAAAAAAAAAGCCTATTTCCGTTAACCATAAAAAAAAGTAAGTTTTAAGAAATCAATTCATTTTAGCATGTAATTCCGGACCTTTTAAAAAGGTTCAAAGTATAAATCAAAATTAGATTAGGTAGCGAATTTTTTTTTTTTTTTGAATGTTGAATCACTTTTTTCACGATATTTTTTTAAAAGAATTTGACGCCACCACTCCTTTAACAATAATTATCATGTGATTTTTAGATCAGAATAAAAATGGTTTTTTTGATCCGCTGCGGGTAGATTTTTTTTTTATTATAAAGAAAATATTAACAACAATGTTAATGTGTGTCTATTAACATTATCTTAATTCATAAATAGGCAGGATGATTTGTAGATAGGTAAAAATAGTTATATGAAAGTTCAGCACCTATCTGGCTACCTAATAAGTAATATCAGATCCAATAGGTATCAAATTAATATCAGAACTAATTCAATTATTATTATACTTCTGTTTATTTAATTTTCTACTAGCTAAATTCTAGTTCAAAGTTCTTGCTCAAAAGCAACTCAAAGATTGAATTTTTGACTCAAAGGTTAAATTTTGAAAAAATTTCAATATCAAATTCTTATCTTGAAATTATACAAATTTTAAATATCTTATTAAATATTTGAAACATTTCTGAATTCAATGGCATTATTCAATTTTATTATTATTCTAATATCTTTAGAACACTAACTGCAAATCCAAGATAACTAATATATCAAACTGTTGCAGATCGATCAGATCTAATAGTTAATACTTCTAACAAGTCAAATTAAATTGAATTAAGTAGGTTGATTTACAGTTATGACTTTAAACTCCTAAATCAAATTTTAATTTCCAGGAGTATTACCAAATTTAGATGTCAATTCTAGAATGATCAGTGGGAAATTCTTGAAATTTGATTGGTTCCTGCTTATTTTTTTAAATTTAAAAAACTTAAATTCTAAGTTGAATTCAAAAACTATATAAATATTTAGTAAAAGATATCTAATTTTCATAATCACAAATAATCCCAAATAATCCTGCCTGGTTAAAGTTATTTAAAAAGTAAATGAATAAGATCTTAAAATTCAAAATCTTATAAAATTAAATATAAACTCATTAGAAAAAAAATATTTTTAATAACTTTTAGTATCTGTCATATCTGCCTATTTGAAATCAAAAGTAAAAGATTTTCTATGCCTCTTTGTAGAACTAGTTGAGAAGTACAATAAAGTTGAATTAAAATTATGTGAAATAAAAGAATCACAAAAATGACAAAATACTAATAATCCAGAAATAGCTAAGTAACTTATAATTTATTATGATTATTTTCTTGAACTTTCTAATCTTTATTTTTTTTTAAAATCATATTCAATTTGCAAAAGACACTATAATCAAATCATTGCTATTAATCAATTTTACCAGTATCTTATAAGTTCTGTACAGAAAAATAAAAAATTCTGACTCAATACTGAAGAAGAAAATAGAATCACTTCTATCAATTATTCCAATTTGATTATTGAATTTGATAAGATTAGAAGACTTTTAGAACTTAATTAATTGAAAATTTAATAAAAATCGCAATCAATAACAGACCTAAACAATTAGATCGTACAAATGCAACAGCAATTAGAAGATCAAAGAATTGAAATAGAAAAATTAAAAAAATAACTATAAAAGGCTTATGAAGATATAGCTGCAATTCAAAATCTATATGACAAATAATGTAAAAAAAATGAAATTTTTATTGGATAGCAAAATTCACAATTCATCAATTAGCAGAAGTACATCAAAGTAATTATTAAAATAGCAAATACAGAATATAAATTATTATTTGATGATATAGAATCGTTAATCAGAAATAATAAAAGATTTTCTATTAAAAGTCTTATGACATACACTCTATAAGAATAGCTTAATAAATGTAATCAGGTTGTCTTTAAATTTATTAAAATGCTTATTCACAATAATCAAGATGATACTTTAAGCCAGAAAAAGATTTTTAAAATTGCAGTTACAATTGATACAATATATAAAGTACAATATAAAAAATATATATCAGAAATTTAGTTTATAGCTTTAGCTATCAAATATTCAATTACATAATCAAAGATGATAATTAATATTGATAATTATATTACAAGTTCAGGAAGCTATTCTTAGTTTTAAATGGTTAGAAGAATTATCAGAACATGAAGAACCATTATCCGAAGGCCTCTTATTTTTTGCTTTTGATAATAAACAAAGAGAACAAAAAAATTATCTTGATTAAAGAATCTAATATAATTATTTTTCATATTGTTACCAGTTTTATTGCTTTTAATATGACATCACAAAATAAGATTCAATATAATAATTTATCCTGGATTTTAATTCTCTTAATAAGTTACAATACAAAAAACTTTTTGATATCAATTCTCAGATATAAGATACTCTTAATAAAAAATTATTTAGTTTTTTCTGAAATTTTTAATTTATTATCTGAAGAAAAATCATCTGTTATTAATACTATTAACTCTTTAATAATATTTACAGAAACTAATATTATCAGTATGAAACAGTGTTCTAATTGTTATCAAAAAAATATTGAGAATCAAAAATAAACATATTCAAAATGTAAAATATGGTTACCTATATTAGTGGAAATTCAAAAAGAAAAAGTAATTAAAATTGAAAATAAAACTATTGATCATTTAATAATACCACTTATTTTTAAACCTTATAACTTTAATAATAAATTAAGTGTTATATCCTCTTCTTGAATTAGTTTTACTTGATAACTGACTAATTATAGAGTTAATATTCTAGAGATTTATATTCCTGATCCAATTAATTTAAATTTCAACTTAATTATAAATATTGAAAAAGTTCTACTTCACATAGAAACAATATTAAATATTAAAGATGAAACTCATAAGTAGATAGTTGTAACTTATAATGATATTCTATATTATCATGTTACTAAATTAAAAAAAAATTTTCTTGGTTAATTCTTATATCAGAATAATTATATGAAGAAATGAATATACTTTGAATATATGTAGAACTGAATTGGTAAACCTATTTTTTTTATTAATATAATATAATATTTATTAATAAATTATATTTTTTTATTTTAATAATTAAGAAAATTGATTTAAAGTAATTTATAATTTGTCAAGATTATATATGTTCCCAAAATTGATTTTGAATTTTTGAGGTATTTCGACTTTTTAAAATTTATGCAAAATCTATTCTATATATGGAAATAAAAAAAATACTTAATTATATGTATCTTTAATCAAAGAATAAATCTGAGTGGTCAAAAAATTTCAGGTTTTAAGTAAAATAATTTCATCTTTTATAAAAAACTATTTCAACTTTTTTTCTTGAAATTGCAATTTTGGAATCTCAAAATAATTTTGCGTGCAAGTATAGTCAAGATTATTAGACAGAGAATTAACTTTCTTTTTTTAAAAAATATATTAATTACTATAAGTCCTGGAATTTAATTTGTAATATATATTGTCAAGTAATAGCCATGAAACTTATGTGGCCATATATAAAAACTCATCTTAATTCTTTAGTTGAGAAATATATTGTTTAAGTTAAAGAACAGCAAGATTCACTTTATAAAATAAAATATGAATAAATAGTTATTTATCTTCAAATGATCATTAACTATCAGAAAACTATAAGAATCAATAATCCTCTTTTAAAAGGAACTACTAAAAGAGTATTTTTTTCAATTTAGTTTACAAGACATCATCTTATTTATTATCTAATAAAAATTACTAATAAAGTTCAATTAATACAACTTTATTCAGAAATATATGAAATTATAAAAAAATATTGTGTTGTATCTAGATTAAGTAACTATGAGTAATATCAAGAATTAAATGTAATTATAGAAGAAATAAACAAAATACTAAAACTTTAATATCTCCTGTTTTACAGTATCACCATTAGAAGATTACAACTTATAATTATAAAAAATTCTTTAAGACAAGTTATTTAATTTATAATTATTTAATTTATAATTTTTTTTACTATTTATTTTTAAAATTTAAAATTTATAAATTATATATATATATACTTTTAGTTTTGAAATAATTTATTTAAATCAATTGGATATAATAATCTTCTACTATCAAGATTAAGAACTTGATTAGAATCAACTATAAAATATTAACAATTTCAAATTTATTTAAGACATCAAAATTTGTCAATTCAACAAATATAGAAATTCCATATTGAAGTTTAGAAAATAAATATGAATTAAGCAAACAATTAAAAAATTTTACTTATTTAGTAAAACAAGTTTAAAAAAATTATATTATTGAAATATTTATTAATTAAAACTCATCTTCTTTATTTAGAAAAATTCTGATTACAAAATAAAAAGCAAATGTATAAAATAGTAAAAAAAAAATATGACCAAAGTAAAAATCTCATTAAAGATAAAAACTCTTCTTGAACAATTTTGTAAAATTGCTCAAAAAAATATTCTGAATTTAAATCAAAAAAAAAAACAAATTATTAAATATTTTACAAGAAATAAAATATTTATTAACTCAGATGATAAATTTAATAATCAAGATTCTTTAAAAAATTTATAAATAAATTTGTAAAATAAATTTATATTATTTTATTAAATAAAATATATTTTTAAATACAAAAAAAATACAAATAAAATATTTATATTTATTTTTTTATGTCATATGTTACAAGTTATATTACTTAATTCTAATTTATTTTTATTTTACTATAAAAATTTCTATTAGCTATTACTAATTTTTTATATGTAAATTTATATTATATATTAGTATATTTAAAGTTAGATTCAATTACAGAACTATGAATTATTGTATTTGAAATTTTTTTTATATTAAATGTTTGTGAAATATTAAAGATCTAAAAGATCTAAAATAATCTAATCTATATATGTTCCCAAAATTGATTTTAGATTTTTGAGATATTTTGACTTTTTGAAATTTATATAGAATCTATTTTATATATGGAAATAAAAAAGTACCTAGTTATGTATATATTCAATCAAAGAATAAATCTAGGTAATCAAAAAATTTCAGATTTTAAATAAAATAATTTTGTCTTCTATGAAAAACTATTTTAATTTTTTTTTTCCGAAATTACAATTTTGGAACTTCAAAATAATTTTACGTACAAGTATAATCCGATTAATATTCTTTACTTAATAAAGTATAATTATTGATAATCCAAATTTGATATAATTTCTGATTGAATTAACTCTAACTCTGAATTGAATTTAATTATATGATTTTATTTTTTAAATTAGTTTGATTTTTTAAATTTATAATAATATTATAAAAAATAATTAAAAAATAATTATTAATTTTATAAAATATCTTTATTATTAAATATCTTAAAAACTAATACAAAAAATTATTATTATAATTTTAATAAAGATATATGTAAAATAAATAATTTTTATTAATATAATGTAGAACCTCTATAATAGAAACTTAGAAAATCTTAAATAAAATTTAATCTAATAATTAAAATTTTTTCATATTATTTATGTTTAAATATATATTTTTGAAAAAACCATTTATGAAAAAAATTTCTCAAATTCTTAATTTATTCTTTTATATCACATATATAGTATCACAATTTTGTAGTAGTATAATAAAATAAACTAACTTTATAAGTTAAGGAAATATCTAAAGTAGAATCCATTATATATAGTCATATAATGGTTAAATAATTACATGTGATTAAATAACTGATCTATAGTCAATTAAATAATTATAAGTATTGAATAAACAAAAATATATCTATTACAATTTTTGAGTTATTGTTTTCGTCTTGTTATCATCACTACTATTATTACTGTTATTGCTGTTATTTATTATTACTGTATTGCTATCATGTTATTAAATAAAAATAATAGAAACAAAAATTTTGTAAAATAAATTTTTATTAATATAATTGTTTAATTTAATTTTTTTTTATTTATTAATTAAAATTTTTATTATTTAAAATTAATTTTTTATAAGTGTAGATTTACCAAAGTCTCAAGAGTTAATTTTGATTAAAAATATAATTTACTTTTTAATGTAACTCAACTACTTGAGTTGTTTGCCTAAGAATTTAATGAGAAATAATAAACACTTCAAATATTTGAACATATTTTAATATAAAAAAAAAAGTAAATTATAATATTACAATAATTTATATATGTCACTTAACAAAATATAAATAATTTAGTATTTGGAAAAAAGAAATTCCAAATAACAAAAGAAAAAAAATAAAAATTCATTTATCTTATTTATGTTTGGTAAAAATAAAGATATTATATTTTTTTCAAAAAAGAAAAGTACAAATGAAACACTTTTTAAACTCATCTAATAATATTTATTCTTTGAAAAAAAATGATAAAGTAAAGTATTTACAAACTATTCAAAACTTGATTATTCAGAAGGTAACAAAGAATTATTATCTACCTGTTATTTTTAATATAGTAAAAGAATATATAGAAAAAAAAATAGATTTAAGTATGAGTATAAAAGAACTTTGACTTAAGGACCTTACAAATATTAAACATAAGATTTATAACATCCCCAATATTTACTTTATTAATAATCTTAACAGAAAATATAATATTTGAAAATTAATTTTTTTTTTAAAAAACATAAATATTATGTTAATTATTTTTTTATTTTTTACAAGTCAACTTATAAATTCATTTTTATTAATTCAAATTAAATCAAAAATCTTGAAAAATTTAATTAGCTATTATTAAAAATACCTGTTATAATTATTTTCATAAGTTATAATTAAAGATAGTATCCTTAATTATTTTTTCAAATTCTCAATATTATGAATTTTTTAGATAAAATTGTGATAAAAAATCTGTATATTCTTAATTAATCTATATTAGTGATACAATTCAGATAATCTATTTAATCTGTTAATCTGTACAACTATCAAATTTTCATCTGTCATCCGTTATATAGTTAATTTTTTTAATCCGTAGATTATCTATAGATTATTTATTCAATCTACAGATTATGTAGATCATCTATTTAATCTGTAGGTCATCCATCTAATCTGCGAATTATCTGTTCAATCTGTAGATTATTTTTTAATTTATATTCATTCACTTCTCCTATTTCTATTCTACTTCTCCCATTTATATTACTATTTCTATATTATTCACTTTTCCTGTTTCTATATTACCACTTCTCTATTATTATATATTTTTCCTATTTCTATATTATTTACTTTTTCCATTTCTATATTTTTCATTTTTATATTATCCACTTTTTCCATTTCTATATTACCTACTTCTCCCATTTCTATATTATCCACTTCTCCCATTTCTATATTATCACTTCTCTTATTCTATATTATACACTTTTCCATTTTTATTACTTATTTTTTTCATTTCTATATTACCTATTTCTATATTACACCTTTTATATTATTCACTTTTTTCATTTCTATATTACCTACTTCTCTATTATTATCCACTTCTATATTACCTACTTTTCTCGTTTCTATATTAATCCACTTTTCTATTTCTATATTATTCACTTTTCCCATCTCTATATTACCCACTTCTCTATTATTATCTATTTCTATATTATCTACTTTTTTCATTTCTATATTACTTACTTTTTCCATTTCTATATTAATTTACTTTTTCACTTCTATATTATCTACTTTTTTCATTTTTATATTATTCACTTCACTATTATTACCCACTTCTATATTATCCAATTCTCTATTATTATCTACTTTTTTCATTTCTATACTATTATCCACTTCTCTTATTTTTATATTATTATCCAATTCTCTATTATTATCTACTTTTTTCATTTCTATACTATTATCCACTTCTCTTATTTTTATATTATTATCCAATTCTCACTTTTCATAACATTCCGATTATAATTTTGAGAAAGAAAGTAAGTACTTTCTTATTTTATTTAAAAATAAATAAGAGAAGAGATAAGTTGTTTTTATTTTTTTTTTTTAAAAAAATATTAAAAAAAAAATTAATAATAAATATATTTACTCATTTTTACAAATCTAACATGTCACGGAAATGACATTCCCAATTTCAATTCTGAGAAGAAAAAAAATATTTTTTTATTTTACTTAAGAATAAATAAGGGAAGAGATAAGTAAGTTGTTTTTATTTTTTTTTAAAAAAAAAAAATATTAAAAATTAATAATAAATTTACTTACCTATTTTTGTGAATTTAATATGCCATGGAAATGATATTTCTGATCTCAACTCCAAAAAAGAAGGAAATGTTTTCTTATTTTACTTAAGAGTAAGTAAGAGAAGAGGTAAGTAAGTTGTTTCTATTTTTTTTAAAAAAAAATATTAAAAATTAATAATAAATATACTTATCTATTTTCACAAATCTAACATGTTGTAAAAATGACATTCCCAATTCCAACTCTGAAAAAGAAAAAAGTATTTTTCTATTTTACTTAAGAGTAAGTAAGGGAAGAAATAAGTAAGTTGTTTTTATTTTTTTTTTAAAAAAAAAATATATTAAAAATTAATAATAAATATACTTACCCATTTTCGCAAATCTAACATGTCATAGAAATGACATTTCCAATCTCAACTCCAAGAAAGAAGGTAAGTATTTTCTTATATTACTTAAGAGTAAGTAAGAAAATAGTAAGTAAAGAAAGAGTAAGTAAAGAAAAAGTAAGTAAGGAAAGAGTAAGTAAGGAAAGAGTAAGTTAGATTGAATTATCAATTTGTAAATTGGATCATTAATTTGCAGATTGAATTATCAATCCGTGGATTTAATGGATAATTTAGATTATTTATTATTCAATTTAGATTATCCGAAGGTTTTAGAAAAAGTGATCTATTCATTCATAAGACTACAAATAATCTGTCAGATTGACAAATTAGTTATTCGTAGATCATATCTCTAGATCAAAAGCCTGGTTTTTAACTACAAGATAATATATGTTTCATTACTATAGTATCAATATTCGTAAAGAAATTCATATTTAAATTTAAATATCTGTGAAAATTTATACTGTAATTTTTCTGTAAATTTTTACAGACATTTGAATTTAAATATGAATTTCTTCACGAATATCGATGCTATAGTAATAAAACATATATTATTTTGTAGCCAAAAACCAGAGCTTACTGGTCGAAAATTGATAAAACATACACATATCAGGTACCCGATATGTGCATGGTGTTTTCCTAATATCAGACATATATCAGGTACTCGATAAGTGTAGAAAATATTTTTTTACACTTATCGGGTACTTGATATATATATAAAATATTTTCTACACATATCGGGTACCCGATATATGTCCGATATTAAGGAAATATCATGTACATATCGGGTACCTGATATGTATATGTTTTATCAATTTTCGACTAGTGACTTCAATCTATCTTAAAAATATCTTAGTAGAAAATCGCTCCCTGTCACCTAAATCTTAATTGAAGTTAAAAAATTAAATTTTTTATGCATAAATTTCTAAAGATTATGTGATATTTCTGTAAATTTATATCTAATTAAATTTTCTAATGTTATTTAAAAATTTTTAAGATCATTTTCTATAAATACTTCCAATCTACTTATTATATACATTTTATTTTATATATACTTTTGATAATTTTTTATTTTTAATAAAACCTTTAACATTATTTTTATTTTTTTTTATATAAGTTATTTATTATAAATATTATTACTTTCATTAGTATTCTATATTCTTTTGCAGTCATTTGAAACTCATTAGCAAATATTTTTAACTTTTGAAATTGTAAAATTTTTGAAGGTTTATAATCTATTCCATTAATAATAAATTATTTATTTATGAAAAAGTGCGTAAGTAAATTCTATTTGATAATAAAATAATCTCAAATCTAAATAATATATTCTATTTGGAACTGTTACTATATATATATATTTATACTTGATAAAGATCAAAAATAATTAGGAATATTTTTTAAACTTATATATTATTTAGTATTATTGATGTAGTAATTTTTCATATTTTCATTATTACGAAGAGTTACTTGATCTTTAAACAAGTTAATATTTATCAATAATACTTTTGAAATTAAACAAAAATATCAGAAAAAGTTTGAATTAGTTAATTTGTATACTAAACTAAATGTAGTAACTTCTAACTAATTATATATAATTGTTGATATATGAGGAAAGAACTAAATTATTTTAGTGTCAACTTCTAAATTAATATTATTTTACTTAAATAAAAGATTTAATAAAAATTTTATAAAACTATAGAAGGTTAATAATACTAATTTTTTAAAGTCTTTAAATTTTCTTTTAGAATTATTTTTTGTTATTAAGATAAGAATATATTCAAGTAATTGTTTAGTATTAAATTTATTACGTCTATTATTTAAAATATTTTCAACTAAAATATAAATAGGATATAAAAAGAATTTACCCAAGGTGTCAGTAGTAGTAACATTAGAATAAAATATTATGAATAAAAGTTTTGAATTATATAATAAAGAAACTTCAATATTTTTTCATCAATTCACAGTATATTGTTTGTTGTAAGCCTTTTCACTTTTATACTATATTACAAAATATTATAGTTAATATTATTTTTAACACTTGAACATATTTTATATGGATTTAGTATATTTTAAAATTTTCAAAGTTCAATATAAAATTTTGTGATAAATCAAAAATAAATAAAATATTTTTAATACAATTGAAAATGGAATAATAAAATAAATAATAATCTATATCATTATAAGTATAGTGTAAAAAGTCTAGAATTATCAAATACTTAGTTACTACTAAAATTTGTTAGTTTATATATCACATGATTTATCTTGTGAATAAACAAAAATAATTGGTTATATAGTCAAAATAACTATACAACTAATATGGCTAAAAAATTTTTTGTTTATTTATACATAATCTATTTTAAAGAGTTTCTTTACCTTTTCCTTAATTTTGAAAATTGATGATGCTTTGATCTTCCTTAAGCAAATTAGGAGACAATAGAATCTTCTATTATTTGAATTTGTCTCAATTTTGTCAAAAGACATTTTGTAATTTAGACAATATTTATTTAAAGGATTATTTATTTATTTAAGAAATTATTTATTTATTTATTTAAGGGATTATTTATTTAAAAAATAATTTATTTCAATTTATTTATTTCATGATTAATTATTCTTTTTAACTATACCTATGTATAATAAATAAACTAAATACTACTTGACAGCTATAAAAAAATTAGTAAAAAAACAAATCATAAGTTGATATAGATATTTCATATAACAAATCTAATTTTGACACTATTTGGTTAAAAGAAGAACCTATAGATAATAATTAATTTATAAATGAGTTGAGGAGAATAGAACTAAATATATTTAATGAACTTATTGAAAAACAAGGTAACCAGATATATAAAAATTAAAAGGACAAAAACAATATTATATCAGCTGTATTGAATTAATATTACATAATAAGAAAGTAATCTGGAAAAAGATAGCTTCAGGTTTCAGTAAAATTAACACTTTGTTTCTTTGCAAAACTTTCATTAATAATATAGATAATTTAAATTATAATGAAATAAATAATAATAATAAACTTTCATTTGATGAATTAATTAATTCTAGTAATAAAGATAATAATAAATTTACTTTAGTATCTCTTGATATCTTATTAGAAAAAAAATTTTAAAGATGTACAACTTTGTATAATAAATCAATTTCTTTATCTCAAGAATTTTCTAAAATTTTAACTAGTGAACTTTTGGCTTATAGTATTAATAGTAATCAATGATATGCATGGCTTATTTATTCATGAACAAATTAATAACTTAATAAAGGTAAAAGTTTTATATCACGTTGTGACCGTTATATAAAAATAAAGTTATTTTTATATCATGAAGATTTTAAATTATGCATTTTCAAATATTTATATGTAAATAAATTTATTTTAACTGTTTATTAATTTAAAAAGTTTATTAAAGAGGAAGCTATACTTGCCTTGGAAATTGAAACAAAAAAAATAATCTCTAAGGTAACAACTCGAATATGGTTATATAATTTTGATTGAGATTATAAAGACCATTCAAAAAATATTTATTTTGATGGTTATGAATATAATAATGTAGTAACTTATCAAAATCAATTTCTTAAACAAATGTCTAATTTGTAATTTCAATTTGAAATGTATAAAGGAGAACATATGAAAAAAATTATTGTATTAGTATTTTCACTTAATATTTCTAAAATTGTTTCAATTACTCATGATAAATTAATTTTTTATACCAATGATGATATTGTTAAAATATAGAATTTAAGAAAAGAAAATTAACTTCAGTATTGTTATTAGTGATTCCTGGTTCTTTTGAGGTTAAATCAGTAAAGTGACTTAATGGTTCTTTTAAGGAGTTTATACTTTTTTGAAGATAAGACTGTTGTTTTATTAATTTAGAAGTTACCACTGATTCAGTTATTTTAAAAAGGAATTAGACCTTTCATCCAATTTGTTTTAATATCTTTTTCAAGTTCATTATTACTTTTAGTATTATTATTATTAATCTATTAATTATTTTCTAGTTTTATCATCATTAAGTATTTCTTCCATTTATTCAGGTCAAGTATTATTCCAAGTTCAGGATTTTTAGTAATAGTTTATAATTAATTTCATTAACTCAAGAATAATAATATTATATAATTATACAACCAAGTATTTAATCCTATAATATTCATTATTCCTTTGTTAACTATATATTTTATTATTTAATATGACTTTTATTTAATATTTCCAATATTTATTATTTTATTCATTCAATTGCAAAGTAATTTTTACAAGTATTTATTTTAGAGTTGTAAATTATAAAATTAAATTTATCAATTTCAAATAAGTTACAAATTATTAAAATTCAAAATTATAAAATTGTAAACTAAAGAATTAAGGTAAAACTTTAATCCTTTTATAAATATTTTAGGTGATCTATATTACTGTACCATTACTGTACCTTACTGTATCCTACTGTATCTTACTGTACATTATTTTTATTGGTTAATATATTTATAATTTAATTAAATTTATTTAATATTAATTAATTTGTTAGATTAAGAATAATGTAATAATAATTAATACTATATTATAATTATGAAAACTGTGTAACTATATTATATAATCTATACTATAGATTATAAGTCTTAATAATTTTATCTAGTAACAGTATAAATTACAAGGGTTCAGTATCCATATAAGTAAATTTATTGAAGAATTAATTGAGGAACTTTGTCTTTTAGAAGAGAACTAATTTGTAAATGATTTATTTTCTGATAATCAGTAACTCTTATATACTGAAGCTTGTGTAATTATGTATTCAGGTTCTAATCAAAATGGCTGGTGAACAAATCAAGATTTAATAAAACAAGTAGTTAAATGAGTTATTCTAATTTTGAAAAAATATATTTTGAAAAAGTTGTGTTTTTTATATTTGATAATAGTAGCAATTATAATGCATATGCTGATAATGCTTTAGTAGTTTCAAGAATAAATTTAAAAGATGAAGATAAACAATCACTTCTTTATAATGACAAAATGCCTAATGGTTTTTCTTATATTATGATATTTGTAAATATTGATAAAATAATAAAACCAAAAGGAATATGGCAAATTCTTGAAAAGTATAGTTTATAGGTATCAGAATTAATAAAACAATGTGATTTATGCAAGTCACATGAAGCAAATTCAATGAATTTACAATGTTGTATAACCTATATCCTTGAACAATCTGATCAAAAAAATCACTTACAAGAAATTAAGGTATATATATATTTTTTATTCAAAATTTTATTATAAATTTAATTTATTGAGTCATTCTGAGAGGATGCAAAGCAATATATATGTTTTACTGTAATTACATTTTTAAAAATCTTAAAGAAATTATTTTGTAAGTATTAGATTTTATTTTTTTAACTAAAACTTGTTAATTTATATGTTGATCGAACAAATATATAAGTACTTATGAATTAGATCTTTCTGAAAAAGTTATTGTCTTTGTAGTAAAAAAATATTGGTTACACTGTCATGTTCTGAAAAGTATTTTGAAAGAATTTGATCATATAAAGTAATTTGGATGAGTTGTAATTTAGAAAGTTTAAGATTTGAAAGAAAAATAAATTACATAATATTTATAAGGAATAGATTTTATTAATTTAAATATATTATTTATATATGTTTTCAAAATTGATTTTGAATTTTTGAGATATTTCGACTTTTTGAGATTTATGCAGAATCTATTTTATATGTGGAAGTAAAAAAAGTATCCAGTTATGTATATATACAATCAAAGAATAAATTTGGATGGTCAAAAAATTTTGGATTTTAAATAAAATAATTTGTCTTCTATGAAAAACTATTTTGACTTTTTTCTCCGAAATTGCAATTTCGGGGTCTCAAAATAATTTTGTATACAAGTATAGTCTCACTTTAAATAAAAAAATATTTTAGATATCATTTAATATTTTCATTTGACTTTATTAACATTTTACATAATGGCAATTTTATTAAATCGTGTATCATGTGAAATATAACCAATTATAATGCTCCAAATTTAATCACGTGTATCCCGTGAAAAATCCTAGCCAATCGGCGATAATTTTATTTTTTATATATAAAACCATATCAAAAAAAATGCATTAAATTGTAGAGCTATCAAATAATGTATTTTTTTTGATTCCATTTTTGGATGCAAAGCCTTTATAGTTTATTAGATAAACTTTATTGACAATCACCTGCTATATGATGGACTAATCAAATTTCGGGTGACAGGAAAAGAATTAAAAAATCACATGTTTGCAAAAAGCATATATATATAATAGGTAGTGTACTTTTTTTTAAAAACCAAAACCAAAAATGTATGGTAACGTCGGTCTTTCAACTCCCAGAGGCTCAGGAACTAATGGCTATGTGGTCCGAAATCTTTCTTTCATCCGAACACGTAAAGATACAACTCAGTTTGAATCTCTTGAGGAGAGCAAATCTAAAGCTTCTTCGCTTTTAAACCGTAAACCGAATCAAGATATTTTGGATCACGAAAAGAAGAGACAAGTTGAAATTCAGTGTATAAAATACCGACAAAAACTTGAAGACGAGGGGTATATTAAATTAAATTAAATCTATTTGTGGTTCAGTTTAGTTTATTTTATTAAAAAAAAAAAAAAAAAAAATCTCTCGGAAATCTAATTTCTCCTTCTATCTTCATAGGAAATATAAAGAAACCGAAATTGAAGATCTAGTAAACAAACAACGTCAAAAATTATTGTCAACCCTTGATAAAATGAAAGATGAAAAGAAGTAAGAAATGATTTTAATTAGATTTAGTGTATTGTCTTCGTCAGCATTATGTTTTAATTATTGGCTATTATTTATTATGATAAAGCATACAGGAACATCAAGTTCATCAACTTTCACAAGCGAAGGCTACGGAAAATGAAAAAATGATGCGAGCATTAGGAATTAAACGACAGGATTATGTGGAAGGTGCAGCATTCGATCGAGATTTACAGGAACAAAAGAAACGGGATCGTGCCGCACAAAGAGAAAAGGAAAGTGAGGAACGTTCAAAAAAGAAAAGGAAAAGGAATCGATGATATATGGATAATTAGATTTAAATAATGAAAAACAAATGAGGGGAAATCTTGTGAATTATAATTTTATGGAGTACATTGGCATTAATAAAATTCCTTGATCAGTTATAGTTACAAATACTTTTCAGAAGAGAAAAATAGGAATTAAATAGATAAATCAATATTCTCTACTTCAGATAGCATTCAAAATAATATATCAATTAATTAACAATCATTTCAATTTTTTATAATTTAAAGTTTCTAATTTTAAATGAATTATTATTATTCTAAAATATTAAAAAAAAAAAATTATCTTTTTTTGATTGATTTAGATTTATTAATCTTTGTTATAAATATACAAAAAAAAAAACAACATAAAAATACAAAATTACATTGATTAATTTTAACCGAACCGATTACCTCAAAACTAATTATCAATACTATTATTATCAATATTATTATTATCAATATTTTTATTAACATCATTTTTATCTTCATTTTTCCGTTTTATTGCATATATTTTTTCATCCACTAAGGTAAATCCGTAATTAAAATCTTGGAATGCAACTATTAAGAAATGAAATGAATAACATTTATAACATTTAATAAAAATAAAAATAAAAATAAAAATAAAAATAATATAAATAATTAATACATAATATTTTACCAGTTACTCTGTTAGTTATTTTCTCATCCACTTTAACATCTTTATTAGAATCCGTATTGTATGACTGCTGTCTTTCTAATAAAAGATTTACATTTTGTAATAATTTGTAGGCGTTTGTAGCTTGGGCTTGTGTTATGTTTGAAGTGGCCTATATATATATATATAAGAAATTGAACAAATTTGGTCGAAATTCGAAAGATATAAAGAATCGAACAAATTTGGTCGAATTCTCACGTCTAATAAGAGACCATTCTCAAGGCTTGCAGTGAAAGAGTCAATATGATTATCAAGTTTTGAAAGTGTCTCAAAATTATCGTCTTTGAGCGTCTATAAGGTAATAAAAATCTGATGAACATTTTTTTATTACAACAAAAGAAAAATTTTAAAATTATTAAAAACAGATATTCACCATTTTAAAGAATAAAGTGTATATTAATTAATTAATTGGATTTTATAATATACTGTATATTTTATATTTGATGGATTGTAACGCAACATTAACGAGTTAATAAGTAATATTAGGTGTTGCTACGTAAAAACCTGTTCTTCCTTGAAATTATAACTTAACTAAAAAAATTCAAAACCGTAGAACCTTTTTAAATCTTTTTGACTTTTTTGACAGAAATATGGAAAATATGGAAAATGTGGAAGTGAAATTGGGTAGAGTATTGTATTTATATAATGATATTTAAAATTTACAATTCTGTAAATACAGCATATTCCAAAATGAATTTTTTTTTTTAAAAAAAAAGATTACATTGAAAATCATTTTATTTAATTATATAATTGATATAATTATAAATGTCGATATAGACAATAAATAATCTTTCAAAGTATTTTCATTTCTCAAAAAGTTAAATAATGTTGGTACAAATTTATAAAATCTATGAATACAGATGTTCTTGAAATATTGGAACTCTGTGGTGAAGGTACATTTAGCGATGTTTACAAAGCAAAACAAAGATCTACCGGGACTATTGTTGCGATTAAAAAAGCTCGAGAGGTTAAATATGAAAGACCAGCAAAAGAAAGAGTAACGAATGAGATAAAAATCTTAAAGTTGGTTCATCATGAGAATGTAAGTTTAAATTTATAAAATTTTATTCGATTTTTTTTTTTTTTTTTGATTATAATATATAATGTAAATATATAATATAAATATATAAATATATAAATATATATATATACAAATATATATAAATAAATATGAATATCATAGGTCATATCGATATTTCATATAAAGGAACCTGTTAAAATTTTAAATTCCGAAAATGTTTCTCAATTTAATGTAAAAAATATAGAAATAAATAAAAATTCGCTTATATTTCTTTTTTGTCCTTTAACATTAAGAACATTGTTAGATGAATATGATCTTAAATTAATCGAAATCAAATCTTGCATTTGGATGATACTCAATGGAATGACACATATACATAATTGTGGAGTTATGCATAGAGATTTATCACCAAGAAATATATTAATAAATGACATTGGTGTTATAAAGATATCAGATTTTGGAAATGCATGGATAAATAATGGAAATAATCCTTCAGGTGAAAATATTGGGACAAGGTTAGTTTCAAAATAGATCACAGATAAAAAATCAACATATCAAAAGAAAGGAAGTTTTTTTTTTGATAATTTAATTTCAAAAAAAAAAAAAAGATATTATTACGCACCGGAACTATTATTTTCTGCTGAAAATTATACCAATGCAATCGATTTATGGTCACTTGGATGTATATTTGCAGAATTTTTTACAGGAGGTGGACCATTGTTTGTAGGAGAAAATGATATTGAACAATTATGTAAAATATTTCGCGTATTGGGAGTTCCCAACGAAATAACTTGGCCAGTAAGTATAACAATTGTTATTAGATCAATGTTTTATAACACAATTTAATAACATTTAACTTAATTTATTTAACTTAACATTATTTGGAATAAATAGGAAATGAAAGACTTTCCAGATTATGGAAAGTTAAATTTCAAAATTACAAAGTGTTCAGGATTGAATCAACAATTATCCAAAGCAAATTCACCAGAAATCATACAATTTATTTCAAATTTCTTAAAATATCCTTTTAAGGAAAGAAAGACAGCAAAACAGGTCTGTCACGATCTGTCATTTTTTTTTTGGTGAACGTTTATTTTTAGATTTTATTCTATGATATTCAATTAATGTATGTATGTATATTTAATAAAATCTTTAAAAGGCGTCACAAGACTTAATCTTTAACTCGAATGATTTTTCAAAAATTCGAATCGAATTAGAAAAATTGAATCGTAAATTAATTTTAAATCAGGAAAATTCTAATTTCACAGATACGGTCTAACATTGGTCTAACATTTCTCTAACATTTCAGATTGGTAAGACTGAAAATCTAAAAAGAATAATATATTTCAATATTTTCAATAATATTCTTTCAATTCAATATGAAATTCTTGTTTTTTTTTTTTTTTTTAATTGATATTTTATCTATTATAGATATTAATAAATAAAAAAATTTTTACTTATCTACATTAATTTATGCCAAATGAAATATAATACATAAACTGGAAAAAATTCGAGTCGGAATCAAAGTTTATGATCTATAGTAAATGATCAAAACTGAATAAATAATTCTAAATAATTATTGCATATAATTATAAACGATTACTAATGAATGTCCACAGAAATTATCTCACTATATTAATTTTTTATAATCTTGAGATCCAATTCACTGGTAATCTTTTTTTTTTTTTTTCTGAACTTTGCTTTAAATATATTTGCTAAACATATCTGTTTCATTTTTTTTTGAACCATTATTGAATCAGAGGATTCATGATAAACCTTCCAGATTGATTTGTTGAAATGGATCCATATGTAAATGTTCTAATAAATTTTGTTTTATTGTCGTATCTTTCAATAATGGTCTGCGACAAGTTGGACATGACCCATGATGTTCCAACCATGAACGAAGACACGACCTATTATAAACATAATTAAATATGATTAAATATAAAAGAATATAAACAAAAATATATATAATTAAATATAAATGAATATAAATAAATATAAATGAATATAAAATTAAAATATAATTAAAATATTAACATACAAATGAAACATATGTCCACATGGTAATCTTTTCGCTGAACTCATTGAATCACGACAAATCGCGCAATCATCATTATATTCATTTAATTCCATGTCAGTTGCATTAGGATATCTGTAAAAAGTTATTATTATTGATGAATAAAAAAAATTGGATTATCAACTAAATTAGAAGTTATGCATAAAAATCCTTACTGAGTTTGCATATTGCTAATTGCTTTTCGGTAATTACGATATGCAATAATCTTTTTCCTTAAATTATTAAATACACTTCTCATATTAAGAAATAATACGAAGCTAATCCAAGTAAATGATATACCATGTAAAAGCTATATTAAATAAAATTATAAAATTTAAAATTAAATTAAATTAAATTAAATTCAATTAAATTAAAATTAAAAATTTATAAATTATAAATTATAAATTATAAAAATTACCATAATATGTAAATAATGACCAAGTGTAGCAATAAGTATTAATGTATCAGTGACAAATTCTGTATAATATAAAAGAAGTCCTCGTGATTCCCAAACACCTTGTCTAGATAAATCTCTTAAATGAATTACATATTTTACAAGTGTTTGTACTGTATCCAGAAAGAGCGTAAAACACTAATTTATATTTTATTTAAAAAATAAATAAAATATATATATAATATTAATTTATATAAATTAATAAAATTTAATGATTACTAATAAATTAAATAAAATTAAATAAAATTTTTTATTTACCTCAAATGTCAAAAGTAAAAGCATAGATCTGAAAATTGATATACACATTATAAACCAAAATATATCTGATACTAATATAAGTATCAAAAGTGATAGAATACGTAGATGTGATTGAACTGGTGTATTCGGTGAATATGTAAGCTAAAACAATTATAAAAATTTATACATAAAAAAAAAAAAAAATTTAAATTAAAATTAAATTATAAATTATTCATTCATTCATATTAGATAAATAATAAATTATGAATTTCTTCTTTACATATTCAAATCTATCTCGACAAAGCATACTAAATATTCTCAAAAATCCAAGAATTGTAAACCATGTTGTCCATATCAATAATCCTTCCCAGTTTGGTTCCAAAATCGCGCCTACAAAAACGACTTTGAATAAAAGAAAATTGAGGAGTCTATCATACATGTGCTAATTGTTAATATCATAATAATAAAGATTTGATCAGTAATTATGTTTAATAATTTGGGGGAAGTTTTTTTTTTTTTCTAATTTTATTTTATTTGAATCTTTACCTGACTTTCAATGACCCGCAATTCTCCAAAGAAAAATTTTAACGTTAATCTTCCAAGGATAAATAAAAAACAATATGCCAAATTGATGAAAATCTAATTTAAATTGATTAAATAGATTAAATTAGATTAATTAATTTTTAAATAGTTATATTGGTTTAATTAATTTTTTTTTAATAGTTTAAATTTATGTTATATTTATAAAAATTATATTATTGATCTATAAATTTATTATATAAATGTAAATCTTTTAAATAATTATTTTAAAATGAATGCTTTTATATTTTTATTATTATTATTTTTTAATTTTTTTTAAATTTACCATTACACAAATCTTTTCTTTTTGTAAAAAATTAAAAAGTGAGGTAAGAAGGGGTCCCATAGATCCAACTGGTATTGCTGGTGTTAAATACCTTTCGGCTAACATATTTTGAAATACTGAGGTGGCTACAATTGGTCCTTTATCTATCTCTTTCGAATTTGAACCATGAGTTTGATATTCTATAGTTTCATCAACTGAGTTCGATGCAATTGTTATATGAGGCCATGGCCATTTTTGTGGTAATAAGGTATTAAAGGATAAATCTAAGATATTACAAGAATATAAAAAAGCCACAAGGGCAACACATACAGAGATGCTAGTATATAGTTTCAAATCAAGAACTGGCATTATAAACATTGGGAATTTTACAATTCGATGGCCACTCTTTTCAGCCACGAATTATATACTTAATTAACTTAAATTAAATTTAATTAATTTTAAAATTAATTTAAATTAACCTAATAAAGGTGTATACGAAAAAAAAGTTCAAAAGAAACAATGAACACAATGAATAAAATTTCAACAATTCAAGAACTTTATTATGGAATGAAAAAATTGAATTAAATTTAATTGGTTGAGTAACAAATACAATGTCCTTTTATGTATTAGAATTATCAACTTTTTTTTTGGTTTTAAATTGTTTAGGAAATACTGCCCACTTCTTTACTATGTAAAGATCCTGGCAGATATATTTTAAGCATGCTATATTCCATATAATCCTTCTATCTACCCTTCTATCCATTAACTCATTACCTACTAAATTACGTATGACTTCAATTCTCACTGGATTTAATTATTGTGTAACTCAAAGTTGATATTTAAATGCATATTTTAATCAAATGTATATACGATGAAGAATCGCTTGAATTAAAAATAGATATCTATCTAAAAAGTCTTCAGAACATTATTAACATTGATCAGGGAAAGCGAGCGAAAAGGCACAACAAATAAGTACTTTTTTTTGTTGAAAATGTCAGGAAATAAAGTAGCGTGATGAGAATCTTTCCAATTTGACACTAGACCCACCTGGCAATCTTTTTAGTTTGGCTGATGTTCATGCTAATTACCCAAAATTTTTATTCAAGGGTTCACGCCCAATCACAAAATAATAAAAATATGGAAAGGTGCAGATAAATAACAGATAGGTGTAGATGACTTTAAATTATTATTTCTAGAATATTCTTCAGTAATGGAAGTTATCATATGGGCGAATTTTATTTGATTTATAATGACCAAAAAAGGAAATTGATAATAATAATTTCCTTTTTTGGATTTTTTTTAGATTTCGCAATCCCCGCCCATATGTTCAGGGTTAACACATTCAATCATTACAAGATATTAATAAGGTAATGTAATTTATTGTTACTATTTATTAAATGACGAAAATTATGAATAAGTATAATAAAGTATAATGCGATCGAATTAGGCAGTTACATACTAATGAGGATTCTTTTTCATTATACTTAATATTGATGATGCGATCGAATTAAGCAGTTGTATATTAGTGAGGGTTATACTTAATATTGATGATTATAGGCAGTAAACAAATGCCGGCGATTACTGATTAGGCGGATCTCTTATTTGCGCAAGAATGATAATGTAATTATATTAACCCGCTTCTATTTTTTAGATTCATTATTCTTATGATGAACTTATATCTTTTATAAAAAGAGGGCTTCGAAAGTAACCGCAACGATCACAATGGTTTAATTCCCGCTGTTTGTGGCACAAAAAAATAATTAACGATCACATAATAATTCCAATATTATAAAATAGTTTTAGAAAATAGAACAGATATAATTAAAATATCTATTACAACAATATTATTCTTTATTAATTGTTCCTCTTTAAAAGGAAAAGGATTGTAAAATATTATTCCGTGACAATTTTAAAGACTTTCTGAAAAGAGTTTTTTATATTAGATGATTCATTAAACTTAGTCCAATCTTTAAAGTTCTAAATTACGATTTTGTATAAATTGAAATCCTATTTCTTTGGCATTTCGACAAATCCTGGGAAACAATCTTCAAGTTTTTTTTGGTGTTTATTTTCTGCATGTTCCGTTAATCTATAAAAAAGGATCCAAAATAATAATTTGATTAAAAAGTTTGATTACTTAGTCCTTTTTCATTTCTTTTTCTTGATTTCTTATTACTTACGCTTTTTGTCTAACGGTACACAAAAAAGAATTACGACATACTTGACATATTGTGGTCCTCGCTGCTTCATTCTATAAAGTTAAACGCGAGAATGTACAGAAAATTAAATAAATAAATTTGAGTTCTGATCAGAATTCGAAAACAGGAAGACTTTTTTTAGTTCTTTTTTTTTTTTTTTTTCTTCTTTTGGTTCAAATAATCACTATATGTTCATAAAAGCAAGCAAACCGACTTTCTTGCATCCATCTTCAATAATTCAACAAAGTGCTGCTTCCTTAGTTCTCCAGATACAGTATATACAAAAAAGAATATAAAAATGCATCCATTTTAAATTATTAAACTATTATGAAAAGAATCTTTTCATCTTACCGTTTTAAGTTGACTGGTGGCATTTTTTTGAGAACCAGGTTTTGCTCGTTCCCGTTTATGTTGAGCTTTTTGTCCCTAAATTAATAATATTAAAAATAAAAATAATAATAATAAACAAAAAATAAATAAATAATAATCACAAATAATAATAATGATGATTATATTAATTAATTATTATAAGGAATTAAAATATTAACTAGACAAATGAAACTTACGTTACCCATTTTTTTGAATTAAAGAAAAAGGTAAAAAAGTAAAAAGGTTAAAAACATACTTAAAACATCGCGTGACCAAACCAATTATATTTTAATTTTATCGACCCTATCAAGGGATGTAAATGTGACGCAACAGATCTTTATCGAAGATAGATATTTTTTAAAAAATATATATATTGATAAATTTTTTGACCAACAAGAGAAAAAGAACAGCGGATTAAGCATTTGGAGGGGATTATTAAATATTCTCGTTCATTCTTGTTATTATTGTTTGTGCCAATTGATAATAAATTAATAAATTCATTATACTCTGAATTATTATTACGGAATTTGTATTTTAACACAAACAAAATACTGAAATAGCTACTAGTTTATTGAAATACAAAAGCATTTAAAGCTTTATATGCAATAACCTTGTTATTTACAATGTGAAAATTAATATTTGTCTTGAATTATGAAACCGAAAGTGATAAAAAACGGAAAGACATGTAGTAATTTTTAATTTTTTATTAAACTGCAAAATAATAAAATTAAAATTTATAGAGGGTGCATTTTATAGAGGGCTCACTGTATTGAGATAGCGACTACTGCTGATATTACTAATATCCGCGATTAGAAAATTGCTTAAGATCACCAGTGGTGACTGTCAACTGGGATTAGGGGAATTCTGTGTTTTTCCTAGTGGTGACAATCACTCTTGGTGAGCTTTAGCAATACCCTTGAAATTGTTCAATTTCGTGATTTCAAAATGGGTTGCTTATAAATAATACTTGTTAAAAGAAATACTGATTTTCACTCATTATATAACCTGAGATCAGTTTCATCACGACGTGGAATACGCTTTCCTTCTTATACATACGCAATCATAGTTGTACTAAAATAATTGTTAAATAATAATAATTATAAAGCACCAGACTTATTTTCATTAATATGTCCAACATTTAATACGAGTAACTCAAACATTAATAATTTTAGTCTTGTAAAAAAGTTTTTTTTTTTACCAAAAATTTAGAATCATCCCTTTTTTCTCAAACCCAACCCAAAGTTCATCAATCTTTCTCATCAACAATATTTATAATATCTTTTCCATTTACATGGCATAATCAATCCAACATCACTGCTCGAGGTGGTTTCTTTTTAGATTATTTGATGAGATTTTGATTTCGTATTTTTTTTTTTAGATTTATGCTTTTTTTTTTTGACTCTCAACATTTCCTTTTTTTGAATTATGTTTTTTATCACCTGTTTTGCATTATTTAAATTATTTAAAAGAACATGTTAAATTATATTCTCTCTCGTTTTTTAAATCTATTTATAAATAGATCTACCTTCCGATGCTATTGACGAATCGGAAAAGTCCTCATGAGTATTATATTACTATGGATTAAAGTGAATGATAATTCTATCATTCCTAAATTTCCTTGTTCTGATTTGTTCGATTTACTTGATCTGGCATGTTCCTCCAAACAAATCTAGCATTTTGGGTTCTTTTTATTAATTTCATGCCTTCACATTGTTAAAGAATTTAATGATGATTCTGAAATGAAATGAAAGATTGATGTAAAATATTTAAATAATATATCTATATTTCCTCTTAACTTTCATTAGACTTTATATCTCACCTGCAATATTAATTCATCTCGAAGAATTTAATAACAAAAGACTTCGAAGAATAACTAATCCCTCAAATACTAGTTTGTCTCAAAAATGCCACTTATTTTTTAACCATTTAAACAAAATAAAATTATACATATATTTTTTGTTTTTTTTTAAGATGTATACTTTCAATCAACCAAAATAATATGTAATGAAACTTTTTAATTAAAATAAAGATAATTTCAATACTTCTTTCAAAATTTTACTTTATTCATTAAAAAAAGATTACAAATTATAAAATATTACAAAATAATAAAATATATACATGAAAATTCCTTTTTTCTATTTCCACTTTTCTATCAATAAAAATTTAAAACGCTTACATTATCATCGTTTTCTATTCGCTCGAGTTAGGAAACCTACAAATAGAGACGACGCGTAGGCACAGGTCACGTTCAACACGGTCCTATACGCCGCCACTTACCTCAAAATCCCAGTATCTTCCATAACCTTTTAAAACTTCTTTCTGCTAAAGTTACAAATTGATATTTAGTATAACAAACAGAAAACTATAATAATAGAAAACGCGCACCTCGGATCCAAGTATATCGTCCTAATATATATGAAAAGAAAAGAAAAAAAAGGTTAATATTTTATTCTTTAATGATAATAATAGTAAACTTGAAATTAGAAAAGCGGAAAAAAAAATGAAAAAAGAAATCAGAACAGAAAAAAAGTGGAGAAAAAAAAAAAAAATTTATAATGTATTCTGATCATTTATATTTTCGAAACTTTTATTTATCAATCACGTTTTGGTTTGTTTCAAAAAAAGGAAATTTTGTATATTAGATAATCTGAGTTTTTCTATGCCTGATAGTCATATGACAAATTACAGATCATAAGAGTTTCGTGATTTTGATTTAATTCGATTGGTAACAATTAAAGACTTTTGTAGCAGAAGCTATTAATAAATGAATACTGTGCGTTCCAGGGTTTCACGTTTGAGGGTGTTGCACATTTTACAAAACAGAGGGACATTTAATATTTGTCAATTCTACGAATGACATTAGTGAGATTGAGGAGGTCAATTAAAAAATAGCCAAAATGTGAAATCACGTGACTTGAATCTATTCATGTATTTATTTATTTATACTTATTATTATCACAAACTTAAGGCAAATTTGCCAGAAATGCTTACCGTTTAAGGGATAAATTACATTTTCACAAACCCGATGTAAAAATAATGAATGATTGAGCTTATGTCACATGTATAGTGTGTGTGATGAAGGTGCTATGATTTAAGTATTTTGATTCATAATCAATAGAATTGTGCAATATACTTGGCACATGATTTATATAAAACTTTATTAATATGTTATTACTGTATAACAATGGATCGAATTTTCTGGAAAATTTCATCACAGGTAGTGTACATATGAATCTTACGAAAAAAAAAGTCAGTCGCGATCTACTAAAGTTAGGACGAGTCAGAATTATTATTATCGAAAATTTATTATTTGCGGTATATACATTAAAATTATGTCGCACGAAAAACATGTGGTACTATCAGATCAGTCAATAACGATTGTAAATTACGGAGGATATTTGCATTTGGTAAGAATTAAGTCACTCATAATATGAAAAAGAGGCAATGTGAAGAAATTTCATGCGGTCGATCCAGTCTTTCGACTATTATTTTTTACGATAAATATAACATTAGATGCCTTATTAAATAAGGATAAAGTGATCGTCAAAAAAAGCGCAATTTATCGTCACGTGATAATTCGCACGGTCTCGTAGTTTATAAATAAAGTTTCGCCCGAATTGGGTTTATTGAAAGTTTTGCTACTGAATTTTTACTAATGTGTATGATGTATGCGGTGTGGTGGGAGTGCGTATTGAGATGTATATGCATCGGAATAATGAATGAAGTGCAGCCTTGCTAATTCTACTAATATTAGTTGGTTAGAGATAAGTTTTTAGACTTGCCCCTTATTGTATAGCATTGAAACTTCACTTCTGGGCCTACGAGTCATGTATTTTGTTTATATTGCATAAAAACTTTATTACTCTAAAAAGGGTTCATGCCTGTGTTTCTGCTATCTGATAATAATTTTTCTTCGCTTTTTCATTATCTAACCTCATGTGCTCCTTCTTCATATGCTTCTCCTTTACCTTCTTTAATAAGCTTTTTGTAACTTTGTATCTTCATTAACAAAAATGTAATAATAGAACTAAAAATTACACATGCTATCGCAATACCAGCAATTACACCCAGTGAAAGTCCGGTTTGATTGACAATAGTATCACTTCGATTTGAACTTGTAGCCATTGGATTTTGATTTGAAGCATGTATATTCCGATTTGAAGATTGTGAATTTGGGTTTTTGGTTGGAGTATAAGGTGCATTTCGATTTGAAGCAGAATTTGAATTTTTTGAAGTAGATGTTGGATTTGAAGAATATGTTGGATTTGAAGAATCTGTTGGATTTGAAGAATCTGTTGGACTTGAAGAATCTGTTGGATATGAAGAATCTGTTGGATATTCAGAATCTGTTGGATATGAAGAATCTGTTGGATATGAAGAATCTGTTGGATATTCAGAATCTGTTGGATATGAAGAATCTGTTGGATATTCAGAATCTGTTGGACTTGAAGAATCGATTGAAATTGAAGAATATGAATCAGACGTTGGAATTGAGGTGGATGAAGAAGAAGTACCACACCAGTCGATTTGACCTTGACAAACGGTGCCCGCTGGACAGCATTGACCATTCATACGATTTCCACAGCAAACCTGGTCTGGTAGACAGCACATGACGCCATCTGGACATAAAGAATATTCAGTTGGACAAGTTTGTCTTTTTATCAAAAAGTTTTTTTTGGAGAATGACCATTTGATGTAATTATCTCTCGGAAGTGCGGTAACAAAGCGGAAAGCCACGGTGGCCAAAACAATTAATAGGTTAAGGCTCTTCATGATGGATGATGATCAGTTTCAATTTTTAATGCCAAAAAACAGTTAGATTGTTGCTTGAAAAGCTTTGTAAAAAAAACTCACTATTTTCTTTATTTAGGTAATTTCATTCGAAAATCATGCCCCATTTGGAATGCATGCCCACCGAAAGTCGTGCAAACTAAATTAAAAATTTAGTCAATGGGATATATGTAAAATGTTAATTTGCAAAGGTTATTTTTTTTTTTTGGACACTTTTAAAATATACTCAGGGTATAGACTATGTACTCTATATAAAGCAAACATTGGTCATTTGACCGAAATTATTTATTAAAATACGCACGGACCAAGTCCAATAGAAATTGTAAAAATGGTCAATAATCTTCTATATCAAAACTTATTGTTAAACTTTTTCGTTTTAGTCGTTCTGATCTACTTTCTTATGAATGATATATTGACATTTCGTAAAAGCAATAACGTTTCCACAAATTGTAATACTTCTCATCTCGTTCTATTAAACCGATTTTTTTTTCGTCGATCTCAAATTTCACTTTACCATTTCGATTCCGCTATAATGAACTTACTTTGCCTCCCTTACACGTAATGTTGGACTACGCTCTATGTAGAACAAATCCCTATAGTTAAATTTTTGCTTGTATTAAAATTTATTACAAAGAATGTGACCTCTGGGTCACGACATCATGTGATATATGGCGCAGTAATTTCTTCGGAGCAATATGATATTATTTACTGTATATCATCCTGACTCGAAATCATTAAAGCTGAGAAAGATTTAACCCGCTGAATTTTATCCACCTCAATTTCACTAAATAACTCATAAATCTTTTTTTTCTTTTCCGCAGTAAAGTTTCGGTGATTGAATCGGGAAGTTGTTTTCTAATCTCTTTATTTACCAATGCTTGAGTTGTACGTTTCGGATTTCGCGATCTAAATTTAAAAAGTAGATATGATAATAAATAATAATTATCATAATGGTTACCGGTAACAAATTCTTCATATTTACTAGTTTCTAATCTCGGACGCATCAAGAACAAAAGAGGTATGATATTTAGGCTAAATCCCTGTAAAAGAAAGTTACGTACGAATGGAGTTAAAATTTGAAAATGTATCGCTGTTCATATTTTAGTTGCACGAGCATTTATCCTTAACCCAGAGAATAAGCCCCATGTTAATCATATCAATGGTATCAAACATGACAATCGGGCTGATAATTTGATAATTTGGAATGGGTAACTCCTAAAGAGAATGCTGGACGTAGGATATTCCTAAATAATGGCCAGATCGGATACAGAAAAATTTCGAGATTCTATCCGACCAGTAGTGCACTCAAAATTTTAGAATGTTGTATTTCAGAATTTTGTAGTGGGAAGCAAAAAACTTCTGGTGGCTGGTGTTGGATGTACTATGAAGATCACATAGGCCGATCCAAATGAAGAATGGAGAGAAATAGAGCTTGATTCACGAAAATTCAGGGTTTCATCTCTTGGAAGAATTCAGTAAACAAATGGTGAAATCACCCAAGGTTCATTGTATATAGGTTATCGAAAAATTGCTCGTGAAGGATATCTTGTTCATTGCTTGGTGGCATTAGCGTTTTGTCAAAAAGAAGGAAAAGAATACATAAATCATATTAATGGTAACAATAATGCATCCAATCTTGAATGGTGTACACAAAAGAAAACGCTCAACATGCTGTACGTGTTGTCAAGCAGATTTTGATGATGGATCTTTCCGAGAATTTCCATCCATAGCTGAAGCACGGCGTGTCACTGGAATTAATCATATTTGGAGGGTATCCTTGGGAGTACGTGGTATGTGGTATGAATAGTATTTTGAATTATTTAATCTTTATTTCCTCGTCATGCTACAAATAGGTAATATAATAAAGGATTCAGGTTTGACTATTCTTTTTTCAAATCATTTTCTATATAATCAATGTCTTCTAAACCTAGCCACGAAATCATTAAAGTTACCTTTGACTTCACCAATATTATTAAAAGATCAAATTCAGAACTTTTAAGTTTATTATAGCGGAATAGAAATGGAAAGGTAGAATTACAGGAGAGCAAGGATTCGATGCTCTACATCATCGGCGAAAAACATAAAAATTAATTAAAAAATACCGAATAGCACTATATGTGAGAAATTGGGTCGCATGAAAAACATATGGGTTCATGGAGATGATGATTCAATAACTTCTAATGATTTTGCATCACGTATCTGAAAAATTCTTAGTCTGGGCCCGCACGATCTATAAAGACATTATATTAAAGAACTGCCGTATGTATTACTTGTGTAATATTCCAAAAATTGTAACTTTACTTAGGAACTTCTGGTCTTGCCCTGGTTCCGTTTCATATTTGAGAAGGAATCAATTGTCTCAGGTGGATTGGTGATTTCAGGTGTAAGAGGATTAGTATTTCGAGTGGGTTGGATTCGCTCATTTAATAACTGGAATGTTAATGACAAAAACCAAACCTCTTTTTTCATTTTTTCTAATATTCTTCAAAAACTTGAGTATCTTTAATATATTCTTTTTTCCTGTAACAAGGTTAATAGCTGAGAAAAAATGGTATGGATTTGGAATATTCAAATACAGTTATGTCGTTTACCTCTCTTTTTTCGTTATTAGAAGCAGACATGATAAAATTTATTGATCAATTATATGTCTGTGGAGCAATTACGTTACGATTGCACAATAAATAAATCTAGATTGTGATATCGTAACGTAGAATTATCCCTACTGATCTGACATAACCATTTTATTTTATCTAGAATATCGATGATAAGTGAAACCGGATTATAGATATATAGATTTGATTCTCCAGGTTTTGATTAAATGATATGAACGTAATGTTTTCTGATGATGATGAGGATATTACTGATTTAAGTAATGGGAAGAAAAATCATAAAGAACCGATTCACCACCTTCTCACCGCCTTCTCGTGATTGCATGTTCGAAGGCAGATAAATATATAAGAAAAGACTTTATTCTAGCAGATAAATGTAATGTCAGTTATGCGATGTAACACAACTCGCGAAACACGGAAAAAAATATCAGATAATATAGCCACTACATAGTCGTGAAATGAAAATACAACTTTATTAATGTATGCTCTTTTACATTATTACAAATAAATTTATTCGATTACGATTAACAATGTCTTCGGGTTTACCAAATCAAAAGTGCAAAGTGGGTTGTAGTACGTTTTTATTACCCGAATCATGTAAACACAATTATATTGATGCATACTTTTCAACATAAACATTTAAATATAAATTTTGAAAGCTTTGGTCATAATTTGATCACGGAGCTATGGTGATTAATGTGACGAAGAAACTTATCGTCTCAAATGTTGTGAGAACTATCAAAGTTTAATTTAAGTAGTAACTATAAAGCATAAGCTCTAGCACTACTACATCATATAAATCATATATGTAGTTCAAAAAATTTACATATAATCTGTAATTATAACCAGAGATGGTGGCACCATCTACAACTATATTATATATATATAATTTTCTCATCGCCTATATCCTTAATACACTATTTACATTTTCACAAATTCGATCAATAGAATAGATAACACTACCACTAACTTATTTTCTGAAACTGCCACCCACATCAATTTACGTTCATATACGCGTACGTTAAAAATAGCAAATAATTTATTTTAGATGATTTCACAATTAAAAAAAAAATAATCTAATTGGTATTAAGGAAAATTGCCTGGCGGTGACAATCACCACCGGCGAGCTTTAGAAATACCCTTAAGTAAGTACATTCTGAATTTAAAATTGGAATGATATATATGTAGCTTTGCATTATTATGTAAAAAGCCAATGAAAAGAATTTTCTTAAAAACGACATCATTTAGCACGTTGCTCATCCTTTCTTAATACGTTCCTCAATCCACGATTTTGTCCAATTAATGATAAGAGCACCGAAAACAAGATATAAAATCTTATTCTCGGCCATCGTAATGTCACATTTTTTATAAATAATAAAACCTGTTAATTTTATTTATGATATCTTTTTTATAATCTCATAAAATTCTTTTATAATCTTCATAACATTCTTTTTACATTTTTTATAATCGTCAAAAAATTCTTTTTGTCTTTTCTCAAAATCAATTGAAAATTCTTTTAACGTGTAAGTTATTTTTTGTTCCAGTGGATTTTGTGTATCATCAGATATTCTGGAATAACTGAAGTTCTACGGGTTCTACGAGTGAAAGAAATGGAAATTTTGTAAGTATAATAAAATAAAAATTTCTGTATATATAATTAGGAAACGGAACCGTTGTAAGTCCGGACAATAAAATAGATTCGAGTCTATCAAAAGTCAAATAAATAGTGAGATACGCAGAATGTACATTTGATTTACTCATGAATGAGCGGTATATGTGGATAAATGGAAACGTATGTTATGCAGTTTTATTATTAGATACAGAATCTAATATTCGATAACAATTTCCAGAAAAAAATTTTGCTTCACAGTTACTTCGTGACCAGGATAAAAAATTTACACCTTTTGTAGGTATATTTGTTATATTTATCAGTTATCAACCTGCTCCGCTTCAATACGCAGGTCCACCTTTCGGGTTCATGCTTACACAAGTTTGTTCACATATTTGATAACAATTTCCAGAAAAAAATTTTTTTATTCTCATATGAGTCAGAGAGTTCTTACTTTGTAAGTTTGATACCATTTTTACTTTGCAGCTACTTCGTGGCTAAGACAAAAAATTTTCACTTTATAGAAACATATACACTCTCATATTTGGTTACTTATTAGTTAACTACCAGTTCTGCTGCGCTATGCAGGGAATGCCCTTTGGGGTGTACCGCAGTTTTCTATTTAATGACTAAATACATGAGTGTAAAAAACACCTGATATTAAGAGTTATAAAGTATGATAAAACCGGAAAAAAATAGCCTACTCATTTTTTACACCGCAGTCTTAAAACGCCCACTTTCTCTTTTAATTCATTTTTTCTCAATTTCGGTAGAAATTAGAAACAGAAAATAAATATAGATCATATTAAACCTTTATTTTATTCTTATTAAATAAGACATAAAAGATAAAAATAGAGATATAAGATTCTTTTTGTCTAAATCGACATTAAAAATCATTATTATTAATTATAATATAAATAGATCAAAAATAAGCAAATGCTACGTTTTTTTATTATAAATTCTTTGAACTATACTATAAATTTCAAAATTATATTAGAATTGAAATTTATATGTTGTTTTTGATTCTCTCCTATAACTTTATTCTTTATGGAAGAATCTGAGAAATGGTTCATTTTTCATATTATCGAATCTAGGATGTCTAGCATCCTTTTCAATCATTGTTAAATGCTATACTAATATGTAGTAGAGTTGGCGCAATTTCCAAAAAAATAAATAAAAACAAGTGCCCGTAACAGGTAAGTGTACAATAAAGGGTACATTGTATATGTTTATATGTTTGTACACTGTATATTATTATTGATTACATCATAAGTGATATTCCGGAAAAACTTTATAAAATAACAAATAAAAAATATCTCGTCTTTTGTCATTTCTTTTTTTTTATATAAAAAAAAAAAAAAGTTTTCTTTTTGAAAAATGGCAACTTTTGGATTAAAAGAATTAGAAGAAGAAATTCTTACTATTCCTGATTGTAAAGGACCTATGATAATTGGGTCTAAAGGAAATACTATTAGAAAAATAAGGTAAATAAATTTGTGTTTGTATGCGTTTTTTTTGTTGTGCGTAAATAAATTATGCTCATAATTATTAATATCATTATTATTATCAATTATCATTATAATAATAATAATAATAATAATTATTATTATTATATTATAATCATATAATAATACCAATTAAATGATTAGGGAACAATCCGGAGCAAAAATTATTATAGACTTAAAACAAAGTAAACATTATGCCAAAATTTACGGAACCAAATCTCAACGATCAGCTGCTAAATCGCTTATTAAGAAATTGCTTCAATCAAGTATTATTCCTACTACAGGATTTTCATTATTGGGATTAGATGATGATTTTGATGTTAAAAAATCCAAATTTCGATTTGTTAAATTTCTGGGAGATGATACTAATGAACATTCACAAAATAAGGATAAATATTATCTTGAATTAATTAAAGAAGAAGAAAAAGAGAATATTAAAAATGAAGAAGAAATTTATGATGATTTAGCCAATCAATTACGACATGGACTTGTATTACCAGCACTCAAAAAAATAGAATTTACTACGATGGATAAATTTGATGATTGTTTAGAAATGATTTCCGATCAACTCTCTAAGGCGGATCCTACAAATTTAAATCGAAAAGAAATTCGATTAAATATATTTATTGGACAAGAATTATTTATTAAAAGTGGTATTGTTAAACAAGATAGAATAATTGATTCATATGATTGGTGTGGATTTAAACGAGGGCACGGAGGTGTTTCAACATCATTTCAACATAATTCATTACAAATCATTAATAATATGGAAATTATTAAAAAGAAATTTGGATTAAAAGCACGCAACGAAGATGAGAATATTGAAAATGATAAAAGAAGTATTAGCATATATTATAATGATCAAAGAGCAAAAAGGGGAAAATTGAAATTACATTGGTTTGAAGAAGAAGGTAAAATTCGATTTATTATTATTATTATTATTTATTACTTAGAATTTTCAATATGATAATTGTAAAAACTGAAAATAATATAATTATTTTTAAATATATATATATATATATAGGATTGTGGAAAGTAACCAGAGTAGCGAAAGATATTCGACGTAACGGTAAAGTATTTGATAATCTAATTAATTAATATATATATATTGATATATATCAATTAATAATAATAATAACATTATTATTATTATTATTATTATTATTATCATTATCATTATTATAGCAATTGTTGATTTGATATCAGGAACAAATATGCCAGACCTGAGATTCTTATTAAAGTCTCAATATGATGTTCCAATTGATGATGATTTAAAAGAACTTGTTATAAATATACAAAGGAATAAACCTTTAGTTTTAAGAGATGGTTTATGGTTTAGAATGGATGATTTTAAAGATAATAAATTATATGATGATTTTGTCTGTAATGGAATTAGACAGACATTTAAGAAAAAAGTATATTTGTGTGTATTATTGTTTTTTTTTTGTTATCATTTTTTTTTTGTTTCTTCGCATTACCGTATAATTAATATTTATTATTATTATTATTATTATTATTATTATTATTATTATTAGAAATGACAAATTTCAAGTCTCGGTGGTCGCTACTAGACAAGAAAAAGAAAAAGGTGAACAAATTGCAGTTGAAGAATATATTTCAGTAAAAAGTCTAGATTGGCGAGCTGTTGAAAATATTGACAAAAAACCTTCATTACAATTTGATGATGAAGAAGTTCATAAAACTGTTAAAAATACTCTTGATTTTGCTAAAAAAATTGCTAAATTTACTAAAATAAATTGAATTTATTTTATATTATTTTATACTTATATTTATTTTATATTATTTATTATTTATTGTAAATATGTATAAATATGGAAAATAAACAAAATAAAAAAAAAGCAATCTTCATTTTTTATTTTTTTTTTTTTAACTTGAACAATGTCAACAGAGTTGAATAAATTTATTTTCACAAGAAAAGAAGAAGAATTATTAACTTATATGAAACGTTTAGAGTCACTTAGAGCACAAAGATGTGAACAAGAATACGCGTTGCAAATACAAAGTAAAACAACAACACTTTTTTTTTTATGATTCAGATGTTTTTTTTTTCTTATGTTTATTATTTTTTTTTTTCATTTTAATTTGCAGAATGTGTATCAACAACAACAACTTCTTCAACATCGAATATTAACGAATTTAAACTTAAAGAACGAATTAACTTGAAAAAGAAAGAATTATCAAATTTAAAAGCAACAAATCTTGTTAAAGATAAAGCTATAGAAAGCATCGAAATAGGACGCGTCATAATAAATTCTCTTTATCCCAAAGAATTAGAATTATCTTTGCAAAATTCGTATCCTTATAACTAATAATAATTCCCCTAATCTATCGGAATTAATATCCACACACACATATATATTCTATTCTTATATAATTCATCATTCTCCATTAGACAATTCAATGAATTATTAAATACTCGAGATTCTTTCGTATCTGAATTTTTAAAATCTCACCAAGAGTTACTTAAAGTTCAAGCCGAGATGACAAAACTACAACAAGCTATTATTGGTATAATAATAATAATAATAATAATAATAATAAATAGAAATATATCAATTTATTAATTTATTTATATGTTAATCGTTTTAGTTCGTCAACATGATAATCGAGAATTAATGAAAAAAATTAAAAATATTAAACAATCATCTATAGATTTCAACTCCATGCAAAGGTAATTATCATTCATTGGTTTATTTGATGATTGATTGATCGACTGATTAATTGATGATTTTTCTAAAAGTGATTTATCAAATACTATGGCAAAAATTGAGATTGTCAAGAATGTTCTACAGGTATTACAATTTTTATTTATATATTGATTTTTTTATTTATTATTTATTTTAATTTATTATTTTAATTTAATTAAAAAATTAAAAAGGGTTTAATTCTGGAAAGTGGAATAAATTGGGTGGAGGACGAACATTTACTAAAATTGATGTTAAAAATTGGCAATGATTTGTGATCTAAAATAAATTAAACAATTAAATTAGGATGATCCTGATAATCTGTTGATAATATTAATAGAGTAAAATTTTTTATTTTCTATTTTCCCCAAGATACTAAATATAAATATAAATATAAAATATATATTGATATAAAATTAAAGATAAGATATCAGAAATATAAAAATCTATCTTCCTGATTAATATAATATAAAAAATGACCCCTCCTCCTACAAAATATTCTATTGAATTACCCAATACGAAAAAACCTGGGCAAACAGGAATCTATCGCGATGCGTTTCAACCTGATTTTTTGACAGCTAATATAAGGTTTATATTTGTCAAAGGTTTTTTTTTTTGTTACAGCTTTTTTAGATTATTAATAAATTACATTATTAAATTATTATTAAATTATTGATACATTATTGTCATTCTTATACATATTTTTACATCTTTCTTTTGTAATAGTCCCGGAGGACTTAATACTTTGTATGAAAATTTTCAATATGGTAAAAAATCAGAATAAAATACGTTCGCAGATTTTAATCATCAATTTTAAAATAAATATGTATATGATGATTATTATTTCATTTTTTCTTGTTTATAGCGTTAAAAATTTCCCGGGACAGGCGATGCCTTGCGCATCGTCCTTTCAATAAGAAAACTGGTCAATATGAACCGTTTTTGTGGCAAACTTACAAACAAGTCGCGGAACGGGTTACTGATTTTGGGTCGGGTTTATTATATTTAAATGATTCGGTAAATTGAATTCATTAATTATTTGATTTGATTATTATTTATTTAAAGATAAAAAAAAGAAAAAATTGAATAATTATTTAAAATTAAAAAAATTAATAGATTGTTAAGAATCCCAAGAAAGATCAATGGACTGTTGGGATTTATGCAAATAATAGGCCTGGTATATAATGAATAATGAATTTATTGTTGATTGAATATATTTATTGAATATATTTATATTTATATTTATATTTATATTTATTTTTATTTTTATTTTAGAATGGTTTATTACGGATACGGTAAATTTAATATTTTATATGTTATATGAATTAATTAATTATTTATTTATTTATTTGACATTTTCTTGATATTTTTATATTTTTATATTTTTAGGCAAATTCATCATACAGTTTAATTTCTGTTGCACTTTATGATACATTGGGACCAGGTAAATTTATTAACTTAATTTCTCAAGTATTTAAATTTAACTTTATTCTTTATTATTAACTTTATTTTTATTTTTATTTTTTTAAAAAAAAATTTAGATACTGTTGAATATGTAATTAATCACGCTGAAATTCAAATTATTGTCGCGGCAATTAATCGTATACCTGGTTTAATTCGTTTAGTTCCTAAAATTCCTGGTATCAAAGTAATTATATCAATGGATGAATTAGATGATGATGCACCAGTTCCTATTGCTTCAACTACCACAGGAAAAGTTTTAAAATCGTGGGCACAAGAAAGGAATATTGTACTTTTAGATTTTTTGGAAGTTGAAAAATTAGGCCAACAACATCCTTACAAACATAATCCACCTTCTCCTCGTGATATTGCAACTATTTGTTATACCTCCGGTACAACCGGAGTTCCTAAAGGTGCTATTATTACCCACGGAAATTTTGCTGGAGAAATAGGAGGCGTTAAACAAAGTGATGAAGGAAGATCACAAGATGATGTAAGTTATCTATTCATTATCAAATAATAATAATAATAATAATAATAATAATAATAATAATTATAATTATAATAATTATATTTATAATAATTATATTTATTATCTCTCTCTCTTTTTTTTTTCCTTTAATAGGTTATTATATCTTATTTACCGGTAATGTATCTAAATTAAATTAAAAATTCTAAATTAAATTAAAAATTCTAAATTAAAAATTCTAAAATAAAATAAAATTAAATATAGCTCGCACATATTTATGGTCGATCCGCAGAACTTGCAGTTATTAGTTATGGTGCTAGTATTGGATATTTTCGAGGAGATATACTTACTCTTATAGATGACATCGCTGAATTAAAACCTACACTTTTCGCTTCAGTTCCAAGGTTACTTACTCGAATTTTCGCTAAAATTCAACAAGCCACTATTAAAGCTCCAGGTATTAAAGGATCATTATCAAGAAATGCGGTATCAGCTAAACTTGATCGATTGGAAAAAGGACTAGGATATACTCATCCACTTTGGGATAGAATTATATTTAATAAGATTAAACAAGTATTAGGTGGTCGAGTAAGGTTAATACATACTGGTTCGGCACCTATATCTCCTGAAATACTTCAATACTTGAGAGTTTTTTTTTCTTGTGAAGTATTAGAAGGTTATGGTCAAACTGAAGGAATTGCTTGTCAAACATTATCACATGCTGGAGAAAATAAATCAGGTCACGTAGGTGGACCTATTAGAAGGTAAATTCTCAATTATTATTTTATCTAATATTAAGTTATTATTGTTATTTCTATTAATTATTTTTGATTTTATTATTTTTGTTATTATTTTTTTTGAATCATTTCTATTAATATTATTTCCATTAATTATTTCATTCTTTTATCATTTATTATTCTATCATTTTATTATTAAAATTATCATTGTAAATAAAAAAAGTAATGAAATAAAATTAGTAGATGTACCCGAGATGAATTATTTTTCAACTGATAAACCTTTTCCTCGTGGAGAATTATGTTTTCGGGGACCTAACGCATTCCTTGGTTATTTTAAGGATGAAGCTAAAACAAAAGAAACGATTGATGAAGAAGGATGGGTTCATACCGGCGATATTGCTAGTATTGATGAAAGAGGTATTCCTTAAATTATTATTGAATTATAAAGTAAATTATAAGTAAATTATAATTAAATTATTTTAAAAATCATTAGGTGCGGTAATTATTATTGATCGTAAAAAGAATATATTTAAATTATCTCAGGGAGAATATGTTGCTCCGGAGAAGGTACAAAAAAAAAAAAAAAAAAACTTTAAATTAAAAGCGAATTAATTAAAAATTAATTTAAATTTAAATTTTTATTTAACCGAATGTCAACAATAATAATAATAATAATAATAATAATAGATCGAAAATGTATACATCAATTCGAACTTGATATTACAAATATATGTACATGGAGATAGTCTTCGAAGTTTTCTGGCGGCTATCGTCGTGCCTGATCCTGAAACTTTCGTTCCTTGGGCTAATGAATTGACTGGTCTAAATGTTTCATTAGGTGATGAAAAAGGATTAGAATCTCTTGTGAAAAATGATCAAGTACGAAAAGCTTTCTTGGGAGAAATGAACAAGATCGGAAAAGAATTTAAACTTAGAGGGTAATTATAATATTCAATAAATATATTCAATAATATATTCAATAAATATTTACATTATTTGATTTTTTTTTTTTAGTTTCGAATTTGTTAAAGTTATTCATCTTACACATTGTCCATTCTCCATTGAGAATAATTTATTGACGCCAACGTAAGTAAACAAACAAACAATAATCATTAATTTTTTATCAATTTTTATCAATATTATTAATTTTTATTAATTTTTATTAATTATTAAATTGAATTTCTATTTTTATGTGTATAGTTTAAAACTTAAACGTAACGATTGTAGAAACCATTTTAAGGATATTTTTGAAAAGTTATATGTTGAGTACGAAAGTGAAAATGGGAATAATGAAATTAAAGCTAAATTATAAATCCTTTGAATTTCAAATTTCAGGAGAATATTTATTAGATAATAGAGATTTAATTAATAATTTATATCATTATTCTATTACAAATGCATATTTTTATATTATTTATTATTTATTTATTTGTTATTATTAATTGATTATTGATTATTTTTTCTTGTTAAATTCTTTTTATTCTCTGTTCGAATTTTTAATGTGTATTAACATATAACATATTAGCATATAATGTCACGAAGTCACGAGATCGGTTTTCGTATAATTTTCATTATTAAATTATTAATACGCGTTTTAAAATTTAGAACTATATATATTTTATTTTATTTATTTTTTTCATTAAACTTCACTTAAAAAAAAATAATTATTTCAATATTTCAAAATGCGAGCATTTATTTCAAATTCTTCACTTAAAATTCGATTAAGCCTCAACTCATTTTTAAGTAAACCAGATCAACCTTTATTTAACTCCATTAAATTCTCACGTAAAATTTCTACTATTGAGAACTCTGATATTGAAAAACAAACAAATTCAAGCCAAAATGTACAAAGTAAGAACAATTTTCAACAAGGTCAAGCGCTGACTACTTCCGTGTTACTTTGTCAGGCTTTACTTTTATTTGTCGAAATTCTTTTGATATTTGGATAATACTTGGATAGTTATTTGGAACTCACCCAAATCAAGTCGAAACGTTACCGAAATCACAGGAATCAAATGTATCAATAATATGTAATCTATTATTAATATCTAATAGAATTGGTTAACACGGCAGGTAGTTTAGTCAGCGCGGTATTTTTTTTTATTTTTTGTTTTTTTATTTTTATTTATTGGGAAAAATTTTTTTATCATACTAATTTTTTTACTTTTAATTTAATTTAATTTTTCTTTTTTTTTAAAAAAAATATTTATTTAGAAACCATTAATGCTGCAGGAGTAGAAATGATACCAGATTGGCTATATAAAATTATTTTCCCAAGTGATACGCGAGATTGCCCTAAGGATATGGATAATTACTTCAAAGATATATCCATCAATCATTTGAAACAACAAGGATTATATGGAAAAGAAACAGAAGAATTTCTTCCCGTAGAACCTTTTGATGTACCAAAATTACGTGGAAATTCAATAGCCGAACATTTTTGGACAATAGGTGAACAACAAGCACATTTTTGTAGAGAATTAGCAATACAATTTGCTACTTGTGAATTGCCAAAGATGCCAGAGGAAAGTCAATGGGAATTAAGTGCTGGATGGACTCGTTATAAAGAAAATGCAAAACCTGAACATGTTGAATATCCAGATGAAAATATTTTATGTTTTGATGTTGAAGTATTAGTCAATGATAGTGATTATGCTCTTATGGCTTGTGCGGCCTCTCCAAATGCGTGGTATGTTTGGTTAGCTCCACGACTTATCAAATATAGAGATGATCAATTAAAGAAAAAATCTCAAGCTACCAAAAAAGGAAAGAATTCCAAAGATGTCAAAAATGTCAAAAACGTCAAGGAAGTGAAGAAAGGAGCCAATATTAAAAGTACTAAAAGTACCAAAGAATTGAAAAGTTCAAAAGGTAAAGATATAGAGCAAAATTTAGGAAATTTTAGTATAAACGATTTACTAGAAGGCTTTAATAAAACCGAAAATAAGAATGAAGCAAAAATTAATAGTAAAGCAAAAGTTAATAATAATAAAAATCAAAATCAAAATAATAATAATAATAATAAAACCGAAAACAAAAAGGTATGTATAGAACGACAGATTGGTTGTTTAATTCCCATGGGAAATCTAAGTAAAGAAAGAATAATAATCGGACATAATGTTGGATTTGATCGTGCGCGGATTAAAGAAGAATATCATAGAATAAAATCTTGTAATAGATTTATAGATACCATGGCTTTGCATATGGCTGTAAGCGGACTTTGCACTCAACAACGTTCATCCTGGATGAAATATAAGAAAGCCGTGGAAGAAAATAATCTAGAATATTTAAAAGACGCGTCTCACTTTCAGCCGATTTTTGATGTTAGTTCAATGAACAGCCTTCGTGATGTATGTAAATTTCATTGTGGCAAAGAGTTAGATAAAACTCAACGTGATTTATTTGTTAATGGAACCCTTCAAGATATTGTGGATAATATGAGGAATCTTATCACATATACAGCAAAAGATGTATATTCTACTCATCAAGTGTTCAAAACAATACTACCAAAATTTTTCGATGTTTGTCCACATCCAGCGTCATTTTCAGGAATGATTCATTTGGGAGGTATGTATTTGACCACATCTAAAGATTGGGATCGATATATAGAAAATGCGGAAAGAATTTATAGGGAACAAAGTGAGTCTATTGAGAAAAGTCTTCAAAAGCTTGCATATCGTGCTATTAAATTGGTAAAGGAAAAGCCGGAACTGGCAGAGAGTGATCCATGGTTAAAACAATTAGATTGGACACCTGCGTCACCAAAAGCTAAAGTTGCCATTGGATTTCCAAAATGGTATCGAGATATTTATGATAGTAAATTGAATAAATTGAAGATTACTCCTAGAACCAGAGCTGCACCTCTTCTTTTAAGATTAAAATGGCAAGGTTATCCATTATATTACTCTAAAATATATGGATGGGTGTATCGAGTGAAAAAAAATGATCAATATAAAACTAATGCGAAACCATGCGAATTTAAAAAACCACCGATTAGTTCGACTAATTCGACTAATTCGACTAATTCGACTAGTTCTACTAGTTCGGATAGTTCGGCCAGTTCGAAACGTTTAAATGGTTCTGATGACGACTTGTTACCAAAAAAAGAAGACGCTAATGAAAATTTGATACTCAATGAAAATTCAATTCAAGAAAATTTTTCAGCAGAAAATAATCATGATACTAGCAAAGATTTAGAACAACCTCCTGTAAATGAAATTTATGAAGAACAATTTGCCAATGATGAAGAAGGAATATATTATCCAATTCCACATAAAAATGGTGAAGGTAACCGTTGTGAAACTCCATTAGCAAAACATTACATCACCTCATTTGAGAAAGACGTTTTGAGTTCAGAATATGAAGAGGCTAAAGCGGCATTGAAAATGAATGCAGCATGTTCATATTGGATAGGTTCTAGGGAACGGATAATGAATCAAATGGTTATATACAAAGATCATCCAGAAATTCTTGATATGGGTTATGATTCAAACAATGGAACGCCTGTAGGTATGATTATACCACAAACATTGACAATGGGTACCATTACTCGTCGAGCGGTGGAAAAAACCTGGATGACGGCGAGTAATGCAAAGGAAAATAGGATAGGATCAGAGCTTAAAGCAATTATTCAAGCCCCGAAAGGATTCAAAATAGTTGGTGCAGATGTAGATTCGGAAGAGTTATGGATTTCCAGTTTGATTGGCGACTCTCAGTTTGGATTTCATGGAGCAACTGCCATGGGTTGGATGACACTTCAAGGAACAAAAGCTGCTGGAACTGATTTACATTCAAGGACTGCCGAAATATTAAAAATTTCTCGATCCGATGCCAAAGTATTTAATTATGGACGAATATATGGGGCAGGACTTAAATTTGCAATACAATTGTTAAGACAATTTAATGAAAACATTACTGAAGAAGAAGCCAAAGATCGTGCAACCGATCTATATTCTCATACTAAAGGTAATAAATTCAGAAAGAGTCGGAAATCAGATGATTTTCCTTCTTTTCCTTATGATTCGTTTTGGCATGGTGGTAGTGAAAGTTATATGTTCAACAGCTTGGAAGGCATTGCAACTTCTGATTATCCAAAAACTCCAGTATTAAAATGTGGTATAACTGATGCATTAAGAAACCATATAGTCGAGAAATCATACATGACATCGCGTGTAAACTGGGTTGTACAATCTTCTGGCGTAGACTATTTGCATTTACTTTTGGTAGCTATGCAATATTTAGTGAATGAATATAAAATTGACGCGCGATTCATGTTATCGGTTCATGATGAAATAAGATTTCTTGTGAAGGAAGAAGATTATGAAAGGGCAGCATTAGCACTCCAAATAAGTAATTTTTGGACAAGGGCAATGTTTAGTTATATGTTAGGAATTAAAGATTTGCCTATTGTAAGTGTGAATTTCATTCCAACTTTCATATTAGTTTTAAAAGAAACTGTAATACATATTTTATTTTTTTTTTTTTGGAAATTTAGTCAATTGCTTTTTTCTCGGCTGTTGATATTGATCATGTTCTTCGCAAAGAAGTAACGATGAGTTGCAAAACATTATCACATAATACAGAAATTAAGGAGGGCATTTGTCTGACAATTCATGATCTTCTCAAGAAATTAAATACTTTAGAATTAGACAAAAATAAAACTGGTAACACAGACAATTATGACAATTCAAATTCTATTGAAAATAGATCAATAATCCCAGCCGAATTCTCTGAATCATATCAAAGATCCGATGATAATAATAAATTTTTAATTATACAAAGTATATCAGGTGAAGAAGAAGTCAAAGCTAAGATACTCGAATTATATGAAAATGAAATTGTCAATCTTAAGAATAGTAAGAAGTCAAAATCAAATAACAAGAAAAAACATATTTTGAATGCAAATGTGGGAGATCAGAAATCGGACATCGATGAAGCCGATAAATCGAATGATGCAAAAGACAATAAACCCGATAAATCGAATGATACAAAAGACGATAAATCGAATGATGCAAAAGATGATAAATCGAAAGACGATAAATTGAATGATGCAAAAGACGATAAATCGAATGATGCAAAAGACAATAAGCCGACTTCTTCTCACGATACAAATGATAAAAAAAGAAAAGACGAGCATGAAACGAATAACGACCAAGCACTATCAAATATAAATATTACTCATGATCCGTATTTACAATCAGAACAACCAGATACTAAGGATGATTATTTGGTTCTGGATCAAATTCCTAGAAAAAGGCTTTTAAAAACACTTAAAAAAGGCAAAAGTACAAAAAATGGGATCAAAACCGTTAAACTCGACCCCGTTAAAAAAAGTACGACCAAAGCAAGTAAACCCGTTACAAAAAATGAGATCAAAACCGAACCCGTTAAAAAAAGTGCGACCAAAACAAGTAAACCCGTTACAAAAAATGAGATCAAAACCGTTAAACCCGAACCCGTTAAAAAAAGTGCGACCAAAACAAGTAAACCCATTACAAAAAATGCGACCACGGCTGTTAAACCTGTTAAAAAAAACGCGACCAAAACCGCTAAAACCGTTAAAAAAATTGCCAAACCCACTACAAAAAAAAAAGACAAGAAAGAAAGTGTCAAAAAATAATTTATATTGGTTATCAATTTTTATTTAATTGAAAATTTTTGTGTATCTTTAGTAAGGTGAAATTCGATCATATTAAAAAGTTTATTAATAATATTAATAATCAAAAATCATTCACTATTACTAAAATAAAAAGTCATTCTTCTTGACTCGCTCTATACAGTAATTTCATTTTTTGAATATAAAAATAATGTATGATACAAAAATCATGAAATACAAATGATAATCTTACTATTATTTTTTATTTTTAAAGATATCTTAAAATTTCTGAAGGTTCTCCACATTCACTTTCTCAAGATAATAATAATGAAGATGTACCAGAATTTATTTATGGGTACTCATTTCATGCAGAAAATTCTAATGTAACAAACTAATCTGAATCACAAAAAATACCAAATTAAAAAATATGGATGTTCAAAGGTGACAGAAATATGGATGTATTTTTATGTGGCAAGCCAATTATGACAAAAGTCTGAGTTTTGTTCCATCAATCTGTGTTAACATGGATGATTTGTCTGGTTGATGGATTTGATTGCATCTTTTTTTTGTTTCAACTTTGAAAATGCATAATATAGAAATATTGCTATATGACTATGAATAGATCTTGTATATAGATTCCGATTCTTGAGATTGCACTTAGAGATGAATAACCATTTTAGGTAGGTGAGTAGCTAGTTAACATTAGTGCTTTTTAACAGATTCAATTTAACCAAAGCTTTTTATAGGTCAAATCTAATTAAATCCTGAAAAAATATATATATAATTTTTTCACAAGTATAATAGATGATTTGTAGATAATTTGTAAATAACTTGTAAATAAGTAAAAACAGGTTGTAAATAGGCAAAAATAAATTGCAAATTGGCAAATTAATTTTGATTTTGATTTTCTTGATTATGTAATTGATCCAAAAGAATATCTTTTTTGAATTGATCTTATTAATTTATTTCCATATTTTTTGAATAGTAATAATTCAAAAATTATTGATGATAAAATTATAGTCTTGAAATAAGAGCTTTTGACTGGTATTATAAATATCACAGTAGAAAATTACTTTTTGTTATATAAAATTAATATGAAATGTAAAATTGATATATTGTTTTCAGAATTAATTGAAATAAAAATTTTTAAACAAAAGGTTACAATTATTGTGAAATCTGCAATATTAAGGACTTGTAAAATTATCAACTAATTATAGTCAAAAGTATGATAAGGATAAGGAATATTTATAAATAAGTATGAATGATTTATGTGAATTAGAAATAGACAAAAACAGGTGACAATCTGATTTTTGATCATATGTGACAAATTTTTATATATGGTGTGTTGATACTGTTTTTGTTGATTTAAATAACTTCCTATAAAGTTAATAAATTTTAGAAGTAATTTTATTTTGGTTTCCTTTATTAATTAGTTAAAATAGTTTTTTAATTTTTTTATATATATCCCTGTAAAAGTACAGTCAGAGATAGTCTACTATTATTGACAAGTGAGTAGCATAAATATTAGAATAGCATATTTTTTACTTTGTAAACAACTATTTAATAAAACTTATCTGCATGGTCAGGATTTTGGAAAACAAAATTATTTTTTGAACAAGTTACATTTCTGTGATCACATGTTAGTTCTTGAGGCCAACCAGTTGGCCAAGTCCTTAAATTTGGATCTGACTTCTTTACCCGAAAAATTCAATCAGGACCTAAATTAGAGGATAACCATACCATTTATAGCATTAATTCTTAGTCAACTTATTAATGTTTGAAAGCTTAAAATGCACAAAATATTGTTCCAAAGGTTCTATGTAACCCCGAAAACAGGTCTTACCTGTGTTGGAAGGTCCTTTTTAACAGTTTATAATTCAAACAGAAAAAATCTCCTTAAAAATAGTTAAACAGTCTCAATAAAGTACACGCAAAAAGGAGTGTGATTGATATAAAAGTTCTAGCAAATATTACGAATATTTTTGAATAATTTATTTTACTCTTTATCTGTTATACTATTTATATAAAAATAAAATCCGTGATTCATTCACGTGTGTGGAATGGTATGTTCATTATTAGTTGTTAATAGAACATTCGAATTAATATTTATTATTTATATTATTATATTATTTCATATTATACTACATTAAACTATATTAACTATATTATACTTTGTATACATTATATTCATTATATAAAGTTAAAAAGTTTGCATACAATAGTGTATAATTAGCATAAATAGTAACTCTATCAATACATTTTTGTTTCTTACACATACTGTTTTTTATTTTATTTTTTTTTTATTTATATCTTTATATATGTTGTGTGTGTACAAGAGTAACATTATAAAATGTATGTTCATTATTATTAAATTCTCCAAATTTTCCAAATTCTCCGAACGCGTGGTATTGATCTGTGTGTATATTATTAACTGTACACCAATATCATAATTACAATCATTTTTTGTTTACTTAATCTGTAAATAAAATTTTATCACATACATCACTTAAATTTTTCTATCACTTTTCTGAAATAATTCCGAGTTGTGTTATACTCCACATAACGCATGTCTCATTGAATTTTTTTCTACCATTTCTTTAACTATATTTTTTTTTTATTAATTTTTTATATTATTTATTTAATATTTTTTTTATTTATTTAATATTTCTTATTTGGAGAATTTTAACGGAATTTAACTCCATGAGAATTGTATGTAATTAGGTAATTGGTAAACTGCTGGTTTTTTACACGTTTTAAAACTTGTCTTGTTTTGTCTTATTTCTCTTATTTGAAATTTTTAGTTGATTTTAGAATAACAAAGTTTAATTATAGTTAAAACGTTGATGATTTAATATTTGAGTATGGTTTAATAGTTTATATAATTTGTAAATGTGTAATTTAGTTGTTTATTTTCTCGTGAGAAAAGTTGAAAAAAAAAATCTTGTGGTACTTTGATTGAATAATAATAGTTACGATTACTATTGTATTTATTATTACAACATTAATAGTCACACTATTAATTCCGATTTATGCCGCAGGTTTGTTTCAGAACGTATTTCCGGTCATTCCCGTTTATTTCTCAAATGACTTGCGCGATCCATAATTGGCAAAAGGTGGCAAGGAAAGAAAGGAGGCGTGTTTTGTTTGTGGTGTAAATCAATTCATCACTCCTTGATATTCTTTTTTTTTTTTTTGATTCTGGGAAACCTTAACTCCTTGATTTTAAAACATTCCCAACAAATTCTGCCAATAATTCACCCAACATTTATTTTTTAATCTATATTTATTTGGGGCAAAGTAATTGAAATCTCGTGGTAATTGGAGATAAGAATACTTTTTATCTGTGCGTGTATCCAAACAAAAAATTTGGAAGAAAATGAGTTTACTTTTAGAGTTTAGAAGCTTACATCTGTTTAACTTTCTTTGGTTTTAATTGTGTTGGCGAAGTTTCTTTTCATTCCAATTCTCGTATATATTTTTTCAACGCCACGGATATAATGATATAATGGAAATAATGGAAATAATGAAACAATCGAACTATTGAAAAAAAAATGAAAAATTAATGAATTTATTCTCGTTTTGTATAAATGAGATAAATAATATCCACCAATCAAATATCATATTATAATATCTCTTTATGTACAAATTGAATTTTTCACGCGTGCAAATATTATTACCATATTACTATAAATATGATTTTATCTATAGATCTTTCGAGTGGACGTCACTGATATAATCTGATTCATTATTTTTAATTTATTCATTCACGAGATTAAATAAACTCAACAAGATTTTGTCAAGAATTTTTTACCCCGTTTTGAATTTATTTGCTTGATCACCATTTGAGCGTCATATTAACCAATTTTATTTCTTTGATAAAATGAATGCTATATCAACAAAGAGAGAAATTAAATTAAATTTACAAACCAAATAAAAAATTATTTATAATAAATTAAAAATAAACTTTGATTTCTGAAATTGGAAGTTATTTCAAAAAAAAAATAAAAATAAAAATGCATTAATTTATATTTCCCCCAGTTTTAAAAAACTTGAAACAATGAAATATTTCTATAATAATTATAATAATTATAATGGTTCATAAACTTTTCTTTCATACTTTTACATTTTATGCCAAGAATAAAATTTTCCGGTTTTTTTGTTTACCATTTATATCGCTCATACTCCTTCGTCATTGTGAAAAGAATTTCAAATTTCGAAAAATACTTTTTTTTTTCTAGAGTATTTATTTATTTCCAGGGGTCATGCAAACTCGAGAATTCGAAATTCGGTGCAGAAAAACTTTATTGATAATCTCTATCAATAATATATTTATCACAATATACTTGTATAGTTTATTTATTAAATGCGTAAATATCACATCACCAAAAGAAATCACAAATCATAAATCAATAAAATCAAGGCTTAAAATCTATATCAGCCTCCCCCTTAATGAATTAATCAGATATTATTGATATTATTGATATTATTGACAGTTTTAAAAAATTTTTGATTGAACTGAAACACTGAAACATGTGAAAAATTAATAAAAAAAATTTTTTTTTTTTTAAAAAAAATGAAATTCTATAAAATTTTAAAATTTAAAGTTTGAAACTTTAATGAACGCAAATTATTACTTTGGGGTCATTAAACAATCGAAAGGAGACATTGAAAGATGATGATGATCAAAATAAAGAAAAATACAGTTTTAGTTACTCTTTTTCCTGGAAATTAAACATCATCGCAGATAATTGTCATCTTGTCATCCTTAATTCCTCAATTCAAGTAGATTAAATGCAATGTAAATATTAAAATGTAAATATTGTAAATCTAAATCAACAAAATAGGCTATCATCAAATAGTTTATCATAAATTATTATATTTTCTCTGTTACTAGTCCTTATATATTTTTTTTATATATTTCCTTATATTACTCCTTATATTCCTTATATTAAAAAATATCTCTATTATAAATATATATAATAAATATATAATAAATAGAAAAAAAAACTACATTTAACCGAAGGGAAAATTAACCGGTGGGCAGAATTAAGTTAATGTTGGTAGGGTTAGGGTTAGGGGATTGACCAGGAATTATGTAATTCTGCCTACGGTGAAATTTCCCCTTGGTGAAAATTAGCATTACTCTAATAAATATATAATAAATAAATGTATAAATATATAAATATATTTAAATATATTTATTAACATCTGCAAAAAAAATTTCATCCAATCAACAAACAAGAAGTGTAAAAATAACTGGAAAAAAACCCGCCCGCCATTTCATTTTACATTTTTACAGCATATAAACAAAATAAATTTTTATGTTTATACTGTATGTGATAAAATCAAAAATACAGGTTTACGAATATGTGTTACTGACATTACTGACAAAAATTACTACTGCTCGTCGTTACTTTTTTTTTCAACCATTTTTTCTTGTCTCTGGTAATAAAAATACATTTTGTTACGTTTATCTCTCTCTCTACCTCAAACTATTATTACTAGTGTACCATTTATTTTCTGTCTTGGTAAGTGATCTATCTAAAGGGTTTGTTTACTTTTTTATTAGTTTATCCATTGCTTTTTCATTATCTTTCTTCAAGGAAGTAGAAATGTTTTCAAACGCGCTATCAAAAGTTATTTGAATGAGTTATTTAGTTAGATTAGCTTTATTATTTATGTCAAACGTTTCATAATACTTTTTCACCTTGTGGGGGAGGACTATCATTTCTCGTCGACTTACATGGTGCATTGCCCTTTTGTGAGCTTATATTATTTTGAGCGTAACCAAACAAAAACAACAAATATATGCATACACTTGTGTTATATTTATTGTTTGCTTATATGTTTCACTTAGTTTAATTATTTTTCCACTCATTACTCTTTCGTCGTTATTGTTTCTTTCCTAATATTCTCATTTCATTTTCATTTTGTCAATGTTTCTTGCTGTGCCCATTATCAAGTATAGAACTTACTTTACATATTTTTATTTATTTTTATTTATTTATTAACCACTTCATTTATTTCTAAAATTTTTTACCCTTTGTAAAATATATCATTTAATACTTTTTTTTTTTTTAAAAAAAAAAAAAACTTTTTGTTAATAGACAAAAAATGGCACCAGAACCAACAACTCTTCTCCCCTCCAACAACTTGTTCCCATTAAACTCATATAGTAAAGCGATCCCCACGGTAGGATCATATTCATATTTGCCCACAATATCATCATCATCAGCAAAAAATCGTCCTTCTTTGGGAGTATGTATTACTTACCATCACATTTTTGTAATCGTGTAATATATTATTATTACAAAATTAATAAACAAACAATCAATAATAATATATTAGTGATTTCATTTACCATTGTTTGTTATTTTAATTATTTGATTATTTATTATTATAATTTTTTTTCTTTTTTAGACTACTTCTGTCTCCAAATCAAGTCCCCCGCCATCTAACGTTGAACTTGTAAATGTTTGATATTTTTAATATTTTTAATTTAATTAATATTATTCGGTCGATATCTTTGTTTCTGAGTAATTATAATATTCATCATGTATTCACATTATTAATCATATGAATCATATGTATAGAAACGTCATCAGTGTAAAGAGCAAAAGAAGTTTTATGAAAAGCATATAAAAATACTTGAGCTTGAACTCCGTCATCTCAAAGAACAAGAAGAATTACTTGATGGTAGTTCGGCTTCTTCCAACGCACCTCTTTCTCCAGCAATAAATGATACCCGGGCTCGTTCCAACACCATACCAGTATCATCCCGATCTGTACCAATTTCAAGGCGCAACTCAAATAATCAACCAGATAAACCCATGTTGCCGGAAATTGAAAAGCTGAATCTTGGTGACTCTAAAAATGAAATTTTAATTAATATAGAGTAAGTTAATAATAATTCACCAAATGTACGTTAAATTATTATCAAATATTTCTAATTTATTTATTTGTTTATTTTTGTTTATAGAAAAGATTTTGCCTGTACATCTAAAGGAAAAGGATCTCTTCCTCATATACTTGAATCAAAGGCTGTTAATTCGTCTAATCATGATACTACTTCTTTGTTTCCTCAATTTAATGGAAATTTTTTGCTTGATGACGAGGGTGAGCCTTCAACTGAATTAAATAGTACGTTTATCATCTGTTTTTCCCTCCAAAACTAAATTTGTGAAATTCTAATTTATTTATTCTATTAAATCAAAAGAACCAAATTCATCATCATCAAATATCCGTCGTTATCTTCAAATGCATTCGGATGATGACAAGTTTCCAATATTGGTTCGTCGTGATAGTTTTCCGGGAATGGTTAGTTTTGTGTATTGAATTTTTTTTTTTTCGATTTATTTAGTTTTTCAAAATAATCATATCTAATATTTCTTTAATGCAATATTTTTTTTTTAATATCAGTTGTCTGCATCTTCAGCGGCTCTTGATTTGGCTCCGTTACCTCAAAGTCCTTCCCGTAATCGAGGTTTGGATTCTATACGGAACAATGATTTGTTATCGCACCAACTCCAGTCATGTGGATTACCCAATGATTTACCAACATCACGTGTTCATCTTGAAAAATTAGTTCCGATCTTTGACTCGGCTGTTGCATCAAAAAATAATACCGTTACCATTGCACCTTCCAATAATACAACTTCTATTGCAAACAATTCTTCTAATGGTTTAATAAAGTATGAAAGTAGAAAAAAATTGGACAATTTGGTGTCAGACAATTCAACCAATAAGCCAAGAGTCCCCAAACTTTCAAATTCGAATCCCGATTTAGCTAGCGCATCTAGATTATTTGGTCGTCCAACTACCACATTCAATAATCAGGCAGCTAATGAGATATTGGGTGAAACCGAAAATCAAATTACATCTCAACCTTCTAGCGATCTTAATGGTAATGGTGTATGTAGATTTTTCCAACAAGGATTCTGTTCCCGAGGTGAAAGATGTCAATACGCTCATACTCACGTTTACAATGGTGGCGTGGCACCAGTAAGCATGGCTCAGATGAATAATTACCCCGGAGCTACCGCACCAATCAATAATGCAGCTTCCTTATACGGACAATACGGAATTGTGTTTCCAGGAGCTTCCGGATATGGTTATAATCAAAATGCTGCTCTTAATATGGCTTCGTTAAATACCAGATCTACGATGCAAACTAATACTGTAGCTATTCCCAAAATAAATCATAAACGATCAAGCACTGATCTTGAAGGTCAGTCGAAGAGACAAGGTTCAGGCCTTAACAATTTTTATAATTTAGTTAAAATCGATTGAAAATTTTTCTTATTTTTAACAATAATTTTGATCCTCTTTTTTCCAAACAGCCAATCGATTCGCAGGTGTATTATTAGATGACTTGGTGGGTGAAATATATTCCCTTTGTAAAGATCAACATGGCTGTAGATTCTTGCAGAAGAAACTTGAGGAAAAGAATGACAGATATCTTAGTATTATTTTCAACGAAGTTTTTAGTCACTTTGTTGAACTTATGACAGGTTTGTAATAATATATTTATCTTATTATACTTTATTTTTTTTTTATCCCCTACATCTTTTTGAATTAATTTTTGCAATTCTTATTATTTGATAGATCCTTTCGGTAATTATCTTTGCCAAAAATTACTCGAGTACTGCAACGATGATCAACGTACAATAATTGTCGAGACGGTTGCCCCAGAATTAGTAAATATTTCACTTAACATGCACGGTACCCGAGCTGTCCAGAAAATGATCGAATTTCTTTCAACACCAAAACAAGTCAGTTTATATATTATTATAGTTCTAATACATTCTTTGTTTGATCACCGCATATTTATTAACTTATTCCTAAATGCTTGATAGATTCACTTTGTTATTGTGGCATTGAATCCTAGTGTTGTGACGTTAATCAAAGACTTAAATGGCAATCATGTCATTCAAAAATGTTTGCATCGTTTGAGTTCTGAGGATAATCAAGTAAATTTTTTGTTTTTTAATTTAAAAATTTTTAATATGAAAATTAATTAATTTATTTTTTTCTTTGCATAGTTCATATATAATGTCGTCAGCCAGAATTGTATTGAAGTTGCTACACACCGTCATGGTTGTTGTGTTCTACAAAGATGTATTGATCACGCTAGCGAATCCCAGAAAGCTCAACTTGTCACAGAAATTACATATAACGTGCTCACTTTGGTACAAGTAAGTATGAGAACAATTGATCGATATTATTTATTATATCCGATTTTCCTTTATTAATCTGTTTATTATCTCGATAGGATCCTTATGGTAATTACGTTGTACAATATGTTTTGGATCTTGGGGACGCTCGATTTACAAATGCTTTGATTCGAAAATTTATTGGATGCGTTTGCATGTTGTCTCAACAGAAATTCAGTTCAAACGTTATTGAAAAGGTAAAACGCTTTTTTTGCTTTTCATAGAATTTTGATTTATTTAATATAAAGGATATCAGACCAATCGATTCCATTTCATTTATATAGTGCATTAGAGTTGCAGAACCAAAGACACGCAAGTATCTTATTGAAGAAATGCTTAACAAGAGTAAGCTCGATAAGTTATTGCGTGATTCTTTCGCGAATTATGTAGTACAAACATCTCTCGATTACGCAGATCCCGTACAACGCGTTCAGGTATGTTATGATATGTTTATTGAATCCCTTTCAAATTTGTTTCTTTTTTTTTTAATTTTTTTAATATATATATATATATATATTTTTGTATCAACATTTATAATAGTTAATAGACTGTATTCGACCTCTTTTACCTGCCATTCGTAATACCCCATATGGAAAGCGTATTCAAGGAAAACTTCAACGTGAACAGATGCAAACTTGGACCACAATAAATAATATTAATATGAATATGTTAAGACTTCCGGTTAATGGGTTGTCCAATTTTAGCAACATTGGTATGGTTGGCGTAAACGATTTTGCACAAGGTTACCCGTACTTTTGATAATTGAGTTGAGGATGAAATTTTTTTGGGACAGAATTTTTAAGAGAGAACAAGAGAATGAGAGAACAAATGATTATTTTTAAGTTGCTCTTTTTTTGGAATCTTTTGGACAATCGTATTCATATTTTGGGGAATTTTTTTGGACATTATTTTAGGGCAGAACACGAGGTCATTTTTATACCCTTTTTTATTCCTTTTATATGAAAAAATTTTTCGCACAATATTTTTGAGGAAATAACAGAAATTTGGAATCATGTTTTTTGTATTTTGAGCGAAGGAAAAGATTGTTTTATATTCAACTTTCATCATATATGCGTGGCGAAAAAATTTCGTTTTTATGTATCATACAACAAAAATCGCCTCCATGTTTATATATTGTAGTGATAGCAAATATGTCACGCGAAAAAAAATTTTATTCTTTGACATGATGTTATTTACGAGACAAAATTTTCAAAATTTTCAAAAATTTTTTTATTCTTTTGTATTCATTTTTTTCCCTTTTATTTTTTCACTTGTAGAAAGTTTTCTTATTATATATTTTCTTTTTCTTTTTTTCTTTTTGCTTTTTTTTCTTATTTTCCCTTTTTTTCAATTGCTTTTTTTTTTGTTTATAACAAATGTCGAAAAAAAAAATAGTTTTTCGGAACATATATATTTATATATATATTATAGTGTTCTGTAATCTTTATGTATTTATAAAAACCACTACTTCATCAAACCCATTTTATCATACACAAAAATTTTCCACGTACGTTATATCATCATTAAGTAGTTAGTACGTATAATTTCATATATATTTTTCACTTTGTATTTTATCTTTTTCACGTTTTTATATCAAAAAAATTTTTTGTAAATTTTTCCTTTCATATATATATATGTAGTTTTTTTTTTATGGGTAAAGGAGAAATCAAAAGGTGTTTTTTTATATATTTTCTTTCGAAGATTATTATTTGTTTTTATTTGTTGTTGGGTGGATATTTTTATCAAAAAAAAAAAAAAAAAGATTATATACATATTGTGTAGGCTTTTAGTTCTTTCGTTCGTTCGTTCGTTTTTTGATTATATATAATTTAGGAATATTTGATTTAAATTCATTGAATCAAATTAAATAAAAATAAAAAAAAAAGTAAATAATAAAAAAAAGTAATGTTTTCTATTTATATTTCCTGAATTTTCAATGTAATTTTAAATAAAGGTGCAATAGTCGAGAATACTTTTTTTTTTTAAAAAAAAGTAATTATATAAGCTTTAACAGTAAACTAAAAAAAAAAATAAATAAATAAATGCTCAAGTCTTAAATATATCAAAACTTAATTATGAATGAATATTTTAAACTTTCTCAAGTTATCTACAATAAAAAAAATTTATTATCATTATTCTAACATTGGAAATTATTAAATTAGGCGAACCAAAGTAAAGAAAGTATTGTTTAAATTATTTTTATTTTATATTTTTTTTTTTTGGAAACTTTTCAAAATTTCGAATGTATCCGTTGGCCCCCAATGAGAACAGAACAAACCATTTTTCAACCTTTTATACTTATTGAATTATAAAATCAAATGGATGAATCAACAAACAGAAAAATTATTTCTATTATTATTATTTAAACAAGAGTGTCATATGGAATGGGTGTGATGGTTGTAGGAAAATTCTTTTTGGTAGACACAAAGTGACAAGTTCTAGGTTGGGCAGGTTGTCTCTTGAGGTTAATGCTTTTGTCTATAATTTTTATCAATTTTATAAAATTTTATTTATCGTTACATATTATTATTAATTCAAGGAATTTAAAAGGAATTGTTAAGGTTTTCTTTCACGTTATTAAAATATAAGATTTACCTCCTTTAGCAATAGCTTCTTTCTTTTTAATTGCATTTTCCTTAACACGACGTAAGAAATCATCTCTACATTTCGAATGCTTGATGTGCTCAATACGAATATTAACTCGCTTTTCAATATAACGATTTCCAACTCGCTTATTGATGATAACACCGACTGCTGATTTTGTCACATTATAAATAATCCCAGTACGTCTTTAATAAATAATAATAGAACATTATTAATAAAAAAGTTATTATAGATGTTATAGATATAGATATGTTAAGTGCAAATTTTCAATTAATAAAAAAAAAAAAATTTTTTTTTTTTTTTCAAAATTCATAATTATAATAATTATAAATACCCATGATAAAATTTGTGGGGCATGCCTTTTTGGATGGCACCGTTGGCTTTAATGTCAACGATATCACCGATCTTATATGTCTTGAGGTAGGTAGAAAGACTTATAGGTCCTTTCTTCCGAAAGTCTCGGGAGAACATGTACCGCGTTCGGGCTCGGATACCATAAGAGTGTGGCATTATTAATTCTATAAAATTATGTACATTTTTACGAAAATAATGAAAAATATACTTTACTTAAGATCCTAATAAAACCCGAAAAACCACCCCCCTCCCAACACTTTTATTTTTGTGATTATAAATTTAATCTCAAACTTACGATAATTTTGTAAATGGAGGTTGGATTATTTTTTGATTTTTCTCTTTCCTTTTGGTTAAATGAAAAATTTGATTGGCCAAGTCATGTGTATTTAAAACTTTTTTTTTTGTAATTAGATCTTCCTTTTCTGTCATATTGGCGATATTGGATATTTCGTCAAAAAAATAATTCATAATGGCTGCTGGAGCTAAAAGAAATTGTATTCTACGAAACTTTCCCTTTCTTTTTTTTTTTGTTAATTTTGATTGTTATAATAAATTGGTTAAGACTTTGGGTGAATCTTTATTTCGGTTGTTGCTACACTTGAATGGTTTACTTGCTCGAAAAACCAACAATTATCACAAAAGAGAATTTTTTTTTTTTGGACTATGATCTCGTAATGTATCCTTTTTATTTGATTAATTGATTTATTTTGAAATTGGGTAAGAATAATAGTATAGTTTTTATTTTTCATTTGTAAAATTTTTGGGAAAGTTTTCTAGAAAAGAGATACAGCAATCTCTCCGGACACGAACGAATAAAGTTTGATCCACCATTCATCCAGTTTTCGAAAATTGGCAAATGTGTGGATCATCAATTGCTGAGTGCGCAAGGAAAGCTTCTCACAATGAAAAATTTTTAATATCATCTTTTATTGCCTACGTACTCGCGATGAAAGATGATAAAAAATTTTCGTGAATTGGTTTTACCTTCTATCTTTTCTTTTCTTTTTTTTTTTTGTTTCTTGTTTCTTATTAAACAGGTTCAAAAACTTACAAAGTTCCACGTCGTCCCTTCGAGAAAGAACGAATTGATCAAGAACTTCGTTTAATAGGGTCATTTGGTTTACGAAACAAACGTGAAATTTGGCGCGTGGCTTATACACTATCAAATATTCGTCGTGCCGCTCGAGAATTACTTACATTAGATGATAAAGATCCCCGTCGACTTTTTGAGGGAAATGCCTTGATCAGAAGGCTTGTCAGAATTGGTGTATTGGATGAAACCAAAATGAAACTTGATTATGTATTGGCTTTGAAGATTGAAGATTTCTTAGAACGAAGGTTACAAACTCAAGTCTTTAAACTTGGTTTGGCTAAGTCGATTCATCATGCTCGTGTTCTCATCAGACAGCGTCATATTCGGTAATTAATTTAACAAAAATTGCTTTTATTTGTTAATATTATTTTATCATGTTTACTGATTTTCTTATTTTATTTTAAAAAGTGTTGGCAAGCAAATCGTTGATATCCCAAGTTTTATTGTTCGGTTTGTTATTTTTGTTACTCCCTTTTTTTTTAATACATAATTTAATAACATTAAAATTATGATAAATTTCTTAACACGAACCAAATTTACCTTTTATAATTTTATAGGCTTGATTCGCAGAAGCATATTGATTTTGCCTTAACATCACCTTACGGTAAATTATCATATATAAAAATTATATTTCACTTTTTATATTCTAATCTTATTTTTTTTTAAATTGTAGGTGGTGGTCGTCCCGGTCGTGTGAAGAGAAAACGTCAACGAACTGCAGCTAAGGGTATTAAAAATCATTTAATTTTAATATTTTAATTTAATTTAATATTTTTACAATTGAGTACTAATTTTTATCTATTAAATTAGGTGACGAGGAAGAAGAAGATGAATAGTAGAACGAAAATAACTATTTATTTTTTTGTGAATGATTATTAATTGGATTAAAAAAAAAAATGTATCATTCCAAATAAAAATTTTAGATCTTTCCAGCAAAGATTTTTTTAATTTCACCAAATATTTAAAAAACGTGTAATCGTATATAATTCCCAAAAATTTTTACGTTTCCATTGCTTCGGCATTTTCAACTCCTTCCATTTCTTCATTTACAGGAATTTCATTAAACATATACTGTTCCTGAAATTCTCGTAAATAATTTACCGATCTTTTTTCATCCAAGAAAAGTTTATACACGCGTTTGATGTCACTTACATCAACAACGTTAGCCTATAATAAATGATTTGAATATAAATATTATGAATTTAAATAAATAAATAAATACTATGACCATTTCATAAATATATATATTTATCATACCTTTCTTCTTTTAGCAACGAGATTAGCAGTAGTAATCAAATGAATTGCATATCTCAACGAAGTTTCCACACCAATTTTTGTCAAAACATCTCGAGCTTCTTCATTCATTGCAACATCTTCTTCCTGACATCTATATATATATATATATATATATATTATTTATTAATTTAAACTCATGATTATATATTATTTATTTATGAATGAATTATATTACCTTATAGATAAGATTTCCTTGATTGAATTCTCGTCATATGGAGATGTACTTATTATCAGTAACCTATCTAATAAATCGATTGGTATTCCATGAGGACTTTTGTATTTTGTACCTCTAATTCGCGTAATACCTCTATTTGATGCCATGATAACTACCGGAGCTCTCTCATCTTCGAGAGCGCGATTTAGAAATGAAAAACATTCAATATCAAGCATATGAACTTCATCAATAAAAAGTACCTATATTAAAAAAAAATATTATTATTATTAATATTAATAATATTATTGGATAAAGAAATTAGAACGAAAGTTTTTTTTTTTTTTTTTTTGCTTACAATAACTTACACCAGGTATAATTTCAGCTTTTCCTTCTTCTCTCCATTCAGTAACCTTAGTGTTGATTTGATCACGAATTTCAGATTTAATTTCACCAGTATCACCTATTAATTAATTGAGATTTTTTTATATCTTTTAGAAACGAAATGTTTAATAAATTAGATTTATTTAATATGATTTAACTTACCAGAAAACAAGGCTAAAAATCCTTGAGTTCTACTATTAATTACATCAATTTCATGTAATGAAACTGTATGAACTACTTCTCTACGCTTTTGTAATTCGCCTTCTGGGCATTGCACAAATTTTGTCTGTAAAGTAAATATTTAATTAAAATAAATTATATTCGAATTAATCTCCACATAAGATAAATTGATAACTCACATCCGCTCCCATTGCATCATAATCTCTGGCACGTGTAAATGAACGACCCAGTTTAGAAATCTTGCCAGACGCTTTGTCGATTGTAATGACATCTCTTGTGATTTTAATAAATCCCAAATTATGAAAATTATGATTAGTTCTTAAAAGTTTTTATACTATAAATTTTATGTTTCGTTTTTTTTTTTTTTGAATAACTTACCCAGCTAAAACTTTTTCTTTATTCAAAACATCTATCATTTTATGACCCAATTCGTATATAGTTTCCATATCCGTTGTCTTTAAAGTAAGTTTTCCAGTTTTTGTACCCTTTTCAATTATAATAATTACAATTAGTGTTTGATTAGATCAAATTACTTAAATAAATAAAATAAAATAAAAAATAATAAATAGATATATCTCTCCTAAATAACTTACTCCTGTAATAGAACGATCAATTTGAATTTCTACGACTTCACCTTCAATAATCTCTGCTTCTTCTTTAATGCGCACACCGATTGAACGACGAAATGCTTGTGTAAGAGCCTCAGTTTTAGACATTTCGAGTGAAAAAATTTCTGATGCCGCCAGCATCGTAAATGGTATATCTTTCCCTAAAGCCTGTGCCATTCCTAAATAAGGCGGAGGTCATATATATCTATCTCTATCATTAAAATTACACGTAAATATTCAGATGATTACCCATTGCAATGGCTGTTTTTCCTGTCCCTGGTGGTCCAGCCATAAGAATCGCTCGGCCTGCTATTTTTCCCTCTTTTATCATCTGCAAAATTACGCCAGCGGCTTTACGTGCTTTGTTTTGACCAACCATTCCTTGCGAAATTTGACGAGGTTCTAGCGATTCGTCAAGACCAAGACCTCTAATGTGTGAATGCGCTCCTATTTAAAGTATGAATCAATTATAAATTTGAAAATTTTTGTCACTTGATATTAAATATTGTTATTGCTTATAATTTTAACTACCTATTCGTTCCATTTTTGTAATATCCTTGATTTCTGGCGTTGTTATAGTACCTGCCTGAAACATTTTTGGTTTTTTGTTTTAAAAAAAAAAAGAAATTTTTTTTTAACACAAGTTTTAGAAGACATTATCAAAAAAAATATATATATATAGCTACCATTTTTCAAAATTATCTTGGATCAAAAATACAAAGCGCGTAAAAATATGTCGATTTCTCAAACTGAATATCAAAAAAGTGATCGGCGTGAAAGAATCTTCACGCGCACGTGATTCTATTAGATCTCAAAATAAGATCAACTTTAAAAAGGTTAAGATTTACAATGAAACCTAAAATAAAAATTTTGCTCTTTCAGAATTATCAGTTTTTATTTTATAATAACCAGTAGTAAGTATTTAAAATTAGATACATTTCATATATAAAACAAGTAAAAATATTATTTTTTATTGTAAAAATTTGTGAAAATTTGTGAAACAAAAAATTACACAAATTTTTATACAATTTTTACAATATTTATACAAATTTTTACAAATTTTCACATGATTTTTTCACAAATAACTTTGCAAATATTGATATAGTGAATTGTCCTAAGACAATCTACTTAGATTAGACTAAATATGTCTTAGGACATTATAGTTTAATAATTAATATATTCTAGAACATTATAATTTAATAATTAATATGTCCTAGAACATTATAGTTTAATAATTAATATGTCCTAGGACATTATAGTTTAATAATTAATATGTCTTAAGATATTATAATTTAATAATTAATATATTCTAGGATATTATAACCTATAAATTATTATGTACTTAATCTTATATGTTTTTTTACTCTTATGGACTTTTATTTATCTATTTAGATGTTATAGTAGATATTTATTTGATTACCTTTCAAGATATCAAAATAGTATAAAAAAAAGATAATGGGTAATACAGTAGTTTTGTATTTAATTTCAGTTAACATTATATTATAATTTCTGGTTGATCTTTGAACAAGGATTTAAGTTAGTACCATTGTAGTGTAAAACTGGTATAAAACTAGTAAGGAGCCAGTGATATTTTATTAGTTTACCAGTTTCAGCTTGAATATCAAAATATTATATTTAATATAAATCTGAAATTAGGAAATAGTATTAGTATAAATTAAACAAATTTTTACTATGTCTACTACATCTACAATATCAGTCATGTGATCTTTAATAACCTGCAGATCAGAGAATTCAAAATACAAATGTAAATATATTACTAATATGTGATCAATATATGTTAATTTTTTAATAAATAAAATTAAAAACAAGTTTACTATGTCTTACTTATACATGTTCCCAAAATTGATTTTGAATTTTTGAGATATTTCAACTTTTTGAGATTTTTACAGAATCTATTCTATATATGAAAATAAAAAAAAGTATCTAAGTAGGATAAAAATGGATGTTCTAATACAGCACTAATCAATTTGCTATATTTTACATCTCTAAAACACCATTAAGCATATTATTTTTTGTACATCAATTCAGAGTTCTGTTATCACTAGAACAGGATTCTATATACCATACAATTTATGACAATAATTTTTTATTTGCATTGTCATTCATCAGGAATTTTTATATAACGTTCTATAACATTTTACGAATGGAACATTCGTATAGCGTTCTATATATGCCGTTCTACAACATTTTACGAACGTTACGTTCTAGAACAATCCGTTCTACAACATTCTACAAACAATAAGTATAAATAACGTTATATAACAGATCGTTCTAGTACGTTTTGCATTCTATCAGTATTAATAATGTTCTAGAACAATCCGTTCTACAACATTCTACAAACGATAAGTAGAAATAACGTTATATAATGAATAGTTCTAGTACGTTTTGCGAACTTCAGTATTAATAATGTTCTAGAACGATCCATTTTAAAACATATTACGAAGATACATATTTATAATGTTATATAACACGAAATATCAGTATTAATAGTTATATAATGGATCGTTCAAGAACTTATACTAGTGTGTATCATATAAAAGTTATAACTCTTATAGTTACACTATATTATAGATCGATATATAACGATTTTATTTATTATTATTTTTTTTTGTTCAGAGCAAAACGAAGGATATCATATTTCTTTTTTATTCGATATGTAAACGAAGACATCGTATTTATTTTGTCACAACATGTAGCAAAAGTTTTCATTAAATATAATGAATATTTAATACAAAAATAAAACTATTTATTGTAAAATATTATATATTAAAATTTTTATTTTTCCCTATAATTTATTATTTGTTTTTTTAAAATTATCTTTTATTTATAATGTCTTTTTAAATATTAAATGCTATATCTTTCATATGTATTTAATAATCATCAGTAATTATATTAATTCGAAAACCTTCGAAATTATATCGCAACGTTAGATTTCAAAGGTTATCGATTGTGTCG